TAAATAGTGAATAAAAATACATAACTTGAGAAAGAGGCTGTAGAAGGGGGAAAAGGGCTTTATATATATATATGTATATATACATAATTTGTATATGTATAATTTTTTTTGAGACTCTTTTCCTGCCTTTTGAACAAGAAGCCTCACATTTCCTATTTGTACTTCAACCCCCAAATTATGTTGCTGGCTGAGTGCTGGTCTGCTGTTGGGATCTTACAGCAGTTGTTTAACTGAAAGTGTCTTTATTTCACCTTCATTTTGAAGGATAGTCTAGAACTCTAGATTCACAATGCTTTTTCTCTCAGTTCTTTAAAAGATTTCCAGTGTTTCCTGGTTTACCTTGTTTCCACTATATGAAATCATGTATTTTTTTTTTCTCTGGCTACTTTTGTCTCATTGTTTAGGCCAGGGTGGCCTTGAACTCTCTATGTGGCCCAGGCTGGCCTCAAACTCGTGATCCTCCTGCCTCAGCCTCTCCAATGCTGGTATTGCAGACATGTGCCACCATGTTTCTGGCTACTTCTTAAGATTTTCCTCTTATCACTGCTTTTTCACAACTTAATTATGTTTTGCCTTCTCCAGGCTGTCCTTAAGTATATCCTTTTTGGAGTTCATAGAACCTGTTAGATCTATAAGTTTATAGAGTTTTCATAAAACTTAGAAAAATTCATTCATGTAACTTGAAATGTTTATTTTCTGCCCTCTTTCACTTCTGGAACTCAAGTTATATGTAGGGCAAACCACTTGATCCTTCCCTGTGAGGCTATTTTGGATTTGTTTTTATTTTAGCCTTCTTTCTGTGCTTCAGATCTTCTTTGGTTTTGTTTTTATGGTTTCTGTTAACTTTACTGGTCATTTCTTCTGAAATATCTTAAATATTCAACCCATCCAGTGAATTTTTCATTTCAGAAAGTGTATTTATATTTAGTATAGACAAATAGCATATATTATTAAATAAACACTTGATTTATTTTGTATAAAGCATTAAATCTGCAACTAAACTTTCATAAAATGTTTAACATAAATAAAGGACCTTATTACACTTTTATACATCTCGTTCAGTAGGCTTGCGTCAGAAAGGCAGTTTCTGATGAAAAGACTTCAGTTAAGTCACTAAGTATTGAATTCATTGGATATTCACACTCTACCTCTGAAAAAAGGCAAAGTTTGCTTCTATTGGGCAATTTCTCATGATTTTAGTGTTTTTACTGCTCATGCTGAGTGTAGCATATAAAGAAAACCTTCTAACTGCAAAAAGACTATTTAAAACTTTTACATAAATAACAAACATCACTGTCCAGATCAGAGAGCATCTCAGAAGCTGGTCATTCTGTTTTTCTTTTATTTTTCTTTCTCTGTGTGTGTGTGTATATATATGTATATATTTATTTATTTTAATTATTATTTGTGGTACTGGGGTTTGAAGTCAGGGCCTAGTGCTTGCTAGGCAGGCACTCTTATCACTTGCGCCGCGTCTCCATTCCCAATTTGTATTTCTTTTTAAAAAAGGTGTGTTGAACTTGTTCTCCTGATGAAATGGTTGGGAAAAAAAAACAAAACTAAATTCAGTACCATAAGAGATCTGTGAACTTGTGTAGTAAGGAAAAAGAAAGAAAGAAAGGAAGAAAAAAGTCCTGAACATCATTTTTGCAGCCAGAACATGTTGCTGTTGTTCACTATCAGAAGGGAATTCAGAAACCTGCAAGGACGCCATGTCTGTGTTTAGGGTGGTGAGCAGTGTGTCCTGGACACCAGGCTCTGTGCAGGTCTTATGTGCTAAAGACTGACAATAGTAGGGTGCACATTTATCTTCTATATTTTTCCAGGTTTGTAGTTACTTCCAGGGGAAGGCAGGTTTCATCCAGTTACTCTAACCATTGCCAGAAGTGAGTATCTTTCTAGTCCTTTCATCAGTTTTCTTTTTTTGTTTTGTTTTGTTTGTGGTACTGGAGTTTGAACTCAGGGCCTCACACTTCCTAGGCACATGCTCTACCACTTGAGCCACTCTGCCAGCCCAGTTTTCATTTTATTTGAAGTAAAATTTATATATCATAAATTAACCCTTTTGCCTGTCATCATTTTGTAAATCAGCTTTTAAAATGTTTGAAATTTTTCTCTAAGTTATTATGCCAGATACTTATGTAATTAAATAAAATATTTTAAATAATTTGGAGAAATTTGCTGTACACAAGGCTTGAACTAGTATTCTTTCTCAGTATTTAGTTTACCTGAATGGATTAGGATTGGTTTCCTTTTTAGTATGCTGAAAGTAGGTCTGTAACCTATTTTATAAGTTATATTTTAAGAGCTGATAAACTCTGTTATACTTCTTATATGAAAGTAAATGCACAGAAGAGCAATTAAATATGAAAACACAGGAGCCTGATTACAAATCCCCTCCAAGCATTCTGTTCATTATACTTTTAAAAATGCTTTTGATTTTTCATATTTATATTTTTTTGTGCTGTTGAGGGATTGAATGACCACTGCTAGCTCTTCTGTTGAGATCACCCATTGTGGTCATACTTTTGTGAGTTCTTCCTGACTTCAGTAGTCTAATAGCTGGAGAAGTCATTGACTCATTTTGTGGTATTAAGAGAAGAAACAAAAAATTTTAAATTGGGGAAGCTCTTCATTTTTCTCAGCCCATTTCATTTAGAAATGTGGAGGCAAGCTTGAAAAAGCTTGGGTCAAATAGGTATTTATTGGCTAAATTTAAGGAGTTTTCAAAAGATGAAGCTTGGAAGAGACCCAGAGCTTGAAGCCTGAGCATCACTTTGTCCATGGTGGAGGTCAAGACATGGAGCTGAAGGATCATGTAGGCTGGGAGAGCCATGGGGGAGGAGGTGCTGGGGGCAGGGCAGGTGGCTGACATGTTGAGGCAACTTTTGTTTGGCAAGTGATTGTTACTTTTTGAATGGGACCATATCCCAACCTGTATGTGAGAATAGGCAAGCCATATTATAAAGAGAAAGACTGACAATAGTCATAAAATGCATTAAAACTTTTGTTTTTGCTTGTTTCCTTTTGTAGGGCCAGGAATCAAACCTGGGGCCTTGGCATGCTAGGGAAGTGTTCTACCACATAGCCACATGCCCAGCCCTTTGATTTTGCTTTGAGACAGAGTGTCACTCTGCTGTAGCCCAGGTTGGCCCTAGACTCGTGCTCCTGTCTCTGCCTTCTGAGTGCTGGGATTACAGGCATGGCACCACTACACCTGGCTTAAAACTATGTCTGAGGTAGTTCATTTTTTGAAAGCTGTGATGAGTTACTGCATACATTAAGCACAGGTAGGGTATCTCTGATTGCTGCTTGTATTAGCAGTGTCTTCTGCTGTCATGCCCTCTGTTGCCAGTGAAGCACCGCTGGTACACCTCATCCATATTTGTGTGTGAATTCTATAGATTTAGCCATCTGGTGCCAGCTAAAATTTTAAGTTTATAAAATTTTTGTAACTCTGGCAATTTTTTTCTTTTTTTTCCCCTCAATTTGACTCATTCACACTTAAAACATGTTAACCAGGGGAAAGTAGAGAAAGGGTTAACAAGGACAGAAACCTTTAGGAATCTCCCAAGAGCCAGACAAAAAGCCTGTCTTGTCTGTAGTGAAGAAAACCAGAGTTTAAAGACACTCTAAAATCCTTAGGAACCCCTATTAACCATCAGATTCAAGAAGAGGATCTTGAGTAATCAACAGAAACTAGATAGATCTCTGCATTCTACACATTAGTCTTTTATCAAGAATTTGGTGTGGTTTTGATACTTTTTCCACTCACATAAGTTTGATTTCTTAAAGATTCATTAGAATGATTTTCTTTGAATTAGACTATCACCAAGGTTTATTTGCTGGTAAAGCTGGTTTTCCTACAGACTTGTGGGAATGGTTTAAATGAAAGTTGATAGAAATTCTGAAGAGCAGTTTCTCTGCCAAGAATAAGTTGTGTGTGTGTGTGTGTGTGTGTGTGTATTTGTGTATTTGTGTGTTGCATGTATATCAGTTTTGGTCAGCTGTACTGAGGGAGCTGGGCTAAGATATTTTCCTGCCTGCTAATCAGGGCCACACAGACGAAGCTCAAGGAAGGATGACCCTACCTCAGGAAGTTTTGAGTCAATTGCTATTTATAACCAGTAGGCAGTAGATCTGGAGAGCAGGTCTTTGCTCAGTTGGTAGGAAAAGTTTTCTGCCAAATTTTACATTTAAGGAAACAGTTTATGGCTTAACTGACTGATGCCTCTGTGAGAAAGGAAGGAGTGTGACAGTGACTGTATTTTTTGCTGATTTGGGTCAGGGGTGTGGTGGCATAGCTGTGGGAAGCTCAGTCAGTGACAAAATAGGTGATTACATTTTAAAGCAGTGGTAAGTAATGGGTGCCTGGGACTCTCTTGAGCAGTGTCTGGAACCCTGTGCAGCTAATAGTAAAGTTGAAATCAGGATGTGCAGTGGTTATTAACAGAAAGGAGGACGACATCAACTGTTGGTGTATTTGTAAACTAGCTCTTATCTGGATGTATGTATATTCTTTTTGGTTACTGAACGTGTTTCTGTGTGCATATGCTTTTTAATAATATTCCATTGGTCCTTGTTTCCTTAAGAGAAGGTTTCATAAAGGATAAATTTATGGATGGGAATTGTAGCTTAGTGGTAGAGAGCTTGCTTGGCATGTGTAAAACTCTGGGTTTCATCCCCAGAACTATAACTATATATACAAAACAATATTGTATACTGCTTTGTGTAATTGCTTATAAATCCCATTGTCCCTAACTATAGGAAATTAAATATGGCAGAATATTAAAACTGTAACTTGAGAAATGCCACAGTAATAATTTCTTAGTATTATTATATTGCCATGCGAGGAGTGCCTTGATGGAGTTGAATCACAGGCATATTTTTACATAGGCAGTATAAATGAATTAGTTAGGGATAGGTGGGCAATATTTTACAGAAGATTAGATTAGGATAATACAAAACTGTTTTAACATATTCCTGTTTCATTTTAATAGGATTATCAAGATAAAGTTGTAGCCTTTTTCAACAAGGATCAGTGATCAAAATTGTTCTGTTTAAGGGGATATTTCCAAGTTAAACATGAAAGGAAAACACTGGGATCATTTCAGTTCTGACAAGATAAAGAATACCGTATTTCACAGTTAACTTGCAATGGAACCTTTGTAAGATTCATCGTTTGTCATGCACCCAACTGGGAACATGGATGTTGGGTTTTCTCGTTCTGCTGTTCAGACACTGTCAAGAAGCCACTGCAAAAACATCAAACAAAAAATTTCTCAGTGGGAAGGAAGAACTAATGGCGTATCTAATCCAGCTAAGTGGCATCCAAAGGATTTTGGAGTGAGATATAATTATCACCAAGAAATCCTTCCTAAGAAAACTCTAGTTGGTGAAGCAAAGAGCAAAAAGTTGGACGTAACCAACCCCCAAAATGTATGTCTACCTATGAGTGAAGATGCCAAAAGCTATGGTCAAAATGAGGATGTATGTGAGAAACACGAATGTGAAGACACACGCTCCTGTAAAAATGAATCAGAATCCAACTGGGTATGCTCTCGGATCAAACAGATTGAAAGCTGGAAAGTTGTTTTAGATCCAGAGCCTTCATTACCTCCTGGAAACTTCTATACCTCACAAATACTGTGGAAAAAAATAGAAGCACTTCCCCCAGATAAAGTCTTAAATTCTACTTTAGAGCATTGTGACTCTTCAGAAAAAGAACTGAATTTCAGAGTTCTGGATAGTTCTTACGGAATAACCAAGAGCTTAGAAAATATTTATTGCGAAGCTGAGGGGCAAGAATGTAGACCTTCTATAAATCCTTTGCCAAAACCCCGTAGAACATTCAGATATTTATCTGAATCTGGTAGTATGCCACATAAAGAAATAAACTGTGACAAAAAGTACTGTGAAAATAATTATTGTGCAGGATCTTTGGCCTCTTCTCAGGAACCTGAACCAAAGAAATGTGGTGGGAAGATCAGAGGGAGATCTAAAAGGTATGTTTTTATTCTAGGGATAATGATTAGTGAGTGTTTTACTAAGTAAATTTAGTAAACGTTTTACTTACTGAGGAAGTAATCCTTACAGGATTATAGAGCTTCTTTTTCCTTTCAAATGTATTTCTATTCCCCAGTTAAGGTTTATAGGCCTAGTTTGAAAATACAGATGCTGATTAACAAGGAGGGAAAATGAGAAGAGGAAAAAGAAGAAGTTTGGGTAATACCTACAACAATCTTCTGACATAAAAGCATCAGAAAACCTGACAGTTTGTATCTTTAAGAACTTATATGGTGGTGAGCTACCATATTTGTGATCCTGGCTACTTGGGAGGCTAAGATTGAGAGGATCAAAGCCCTGAGTTCAAACTCCAGTCCCACCAAAAATAAATAAGGATAATTACTTTTTAAAAAAGGAATTTACATGGAAGCAAGTACCTTCTTCGACTTCATTTAGTCCCACTTTTAATTAGGAAGTAACTTAATAAAAGAACCTAGTGAAAAATAGGAACGTGATTGTTAAAATCTTCATTTTTTCATGTGCATGAGGGCACCAGCCTAATTTATTATTCTTAGATCTTTGATTTAAAAAAAAAAGCCACCCTTGCAATTTTGCACACAATTCTCTTACTTATCAATTCTTCTGTACCCATGCCAATTTAAAGATTAGGGCTTTTAAAGACATAATTGAAATATCTCTCCTTTCTTAAGGAAATCCTTTGAATTTGAGGATATTCAGCACTTTCGAAATCGGAATTCACAGAAGATTCATGAAGAACTTGGAAGAAATTCTGGTTCAGCACTTTATTATACACAGTCTGAGGATAATATCTATGAGGATATCATATGTAGGTGTACACAGCTTTGCAATTAAACTTAATGAGTGTGCATTTGGTGATGCCCTTAATTATAGTAAGGTATTTTCTTTTAATAATCAACCATGTCTTGTTCTAGGTTTGTCTTTGTGATATGGAAGCCTTTGGTGTATAAATTCTTTTATTCTTTAATGAGTTTTATAATTAGTATAATGGACCATTCAGTTCAGAAGTAAATGTTTGCTGTACAGTATTTTGAGAATTCTTTCAGTCTGGTTGGGCACCAACATCATTTATAAGCTTAACATGCCATCAGTCTTGAGACCTATATCTTTACTGCACTGTAGAATAAGCAAACTGAATGTGGTCAGTTTTATTTCTTTGCTAGCTGTAGTGACATTTCTTCCACGTATTGACGTTCCTCTAAGCAATCTTTTCATTACTTTTAAAGACCCCACCAAAGAAAACCCCTATGAAGATATTCCAGTGCAGCCTTTGCCCATGTGGAGAACCCCTTCAGCATGGAAGCTACTGCCTCCTAAAAGTGCCTTCAGAACACCCAAGGTACTGCCAGAGAGCTAAGGGGAAAAAACATTAGAGTCTTGTTTATATTGTGTGCAAAAGGGCTAAAGTGGCTTAACTGGGGCAAAACTAAGAGCATCAAAATGTGAGGTGTGGCAGTGGAGGTGGCTTTTAGGTAGCATGCAGCTTTTCAATTTCTTTACCTTCTTACTGGGTTTGTTATTTTAGCACTTCAAAAAGAATTTCATGTGAGTATCTTTACATTGGCCATGAACTTTTCACTTCACTACAGTCCTTCTCCCCCCATACATACACTCCCTATTAGTCTCATAGCAGCCTATGGCCCTTTTAAATCCTTTTAGGACCTGCTGGGGTCCTAAAAGACCCTGGATTGAGTTAGAGAAGACTGAATTGTTTTTCTCCGGGAATTTGCTTACATTGTAGTAGGAGAATTTTGGATTGGAAAACAGAGAAGCTACTCTACCAATGGTAAAAGAAATGTATCCTCATTTGACATGATTTTAAGGAAAGATAAATATTTTTCTGGGGTAACTTTGACTTTGCGTGAAAACACAGGCGTTATGTAGATGGTCCTACTTTCCATTGCCCCTTCTGTTTCAGCTTCCTCCCAAGCCTCAGTTCCTTCACCGGAAGACTATGGAGCTGAAGAACTCCCAAGCTTACATACGGTCACAGCTCACGAAGGACACCACTCTGCCTGTCACTCTAACGGAGTGGAAGCTTTTCCGAGCTGGAGAAGTGGCAAACAGGAAAAAGAGAAATCTTCCGAGGGTGAGGAGTCCCATGACTTTCAGCTCCAAATCTTACTTCAGCATTTCCACAAATAACAATAAGTAAATTTTGGATTAAAGTGTATGATAGCTTAGAACTGACGTATTGGAATGAAACAATCTGGAAAGCATCTTTAAGTTTTAAAGTTGTGCTCATGCAAGAGCAGTACATGAATGGCTTTTGCCAGGGCTTCTTTATGAGTCTGGAAACTGATACCAGATGGAGGCTCCGCCTCAGCTACCTCAGCTCTTGTTCACATGGGCTACCTGTCTCAAGTCAGCAAAAGAATCTCCCATGTAAGGGCCATCCAGCAGTGACGTCAGGGCATACTAGCTCACTCACTCCTGTTCCAAAGTGAGTTCAGTTTTGTGCCTGAGTTTATAGATTTTTCAGTGATGACAAAGTATATGTCTGCCTTTCATTTGGGGCAAAAATTTCCAGTCAGGGAGGGAGAAAAGAAATCAAACCATTATGTGGGACTAGAAATTATCAAAACCATATTAAATATATGACTTCTTCCTTATGGGAGAAAAGACAGTAAGTCTTCACATCGTCTTGACTTGAACTGTTATAACTAAAATGAAGAAATTGAGATTACTTGGAGACAGGTATGTGTCTGTCTGTCTTTCTCTCTGTCTATGTAGATATCTATCTATCTTGTTTTGGGCCCAGGCTGGCCTTGATCCTCTTGGGTGCTGGGATTACAGGCATGTACTACCCTACCCAGCCATATATACTTTCTTTTAAGGGAGACACTTAAGAGATTATATGAAAATATTTTTAAACTCTGTTTAACTCAAGATGTTTTCGGGATTCATAAAATATTATGCAGATAATATGCAGTAATGAAGAAATCAGATATTTAAATGTTACTCTTTAATCCCATCTGAATTAGCCATATGTATTCGGTTAACACATAATTTTTATACCTGACTTTAACATTAAACAAAATCACAGCTGCTTCTTGGCTTAGCAATTGTTGATTGGTTCCTTGGGAGATACTCTGTTTCACAGTTCCTTTAATTCTCCTGCTTTGTTTCCTGGTTTTCCTCTTTAAAACTGGAGGTTTCAAGACCTTCCAGGTGTCCTGCAGTAGCTTTCTGTTCAGGTAGCTCATTCTGGCCCTTAAAGGAGCATCCCATGTGGCCAGAAGCAACAGATCATGTGCTCTTGGGGGAAGCAGACAAACTCCTACGGAGCTGCAGTGAAGACTTTTCTCTCTTGGAATGGCATTAACACGTTTAGGAATTGTGGATCAAATCGGATGTGAGGAGGTCCTTGGGGTGCAGCTCAGTGACAGAGTGTTTGCCCCCATGTGTGAGGCCTTGGGCTTGATCCCCAACACTAGAAAACAGACAAACAAATAAATAAGAGAGACTGAAGGGGTTTTGCACTGCTTTTGATGCTTTATGTACTGTGAATCTCAAATTTCGGAAGACCTTTCTGATGGTAGATAATATAATCCAACTCTTCCTTTTCTAGACTATTCCCAAAGATTTTCGAAGTGGGGAAAAAAACAATGGTGATGGACTCTTTTTGTTTCTTTATTTGCTTTTGAGACAGTCTCACTATGTAGCCCACACTGGCCTCAAACTCAAGATCCTCCTGAGTGCTAGGATTATAGGTGTGTACCATTATGCCTGGCTGATGATGAACTCTTAACTATTGAATAGGCTGTTAGTATTTATATCTGTGATCCTGTTTGGATTAAATCGTTTTAGAATGACCTGTATACAGTGCAGATTTTGGCTTTTAGTATCTTTAGGGACATTCCATAAAAAATCATTTATTTCAACTCTGTTGGCTCCAGCTTTCCCTGGAAGTTTAGAAATCATTGATGTAGTCCGAATGCCTACTCTCCACCCTTTCTTTCTTTCTCTGCTATGGAAGTCTGTGTGGGATTGTTTGCTAGAGCTCATCTTCTGATGGTTTATACTGTTTGTGCCATGTGTGTAGAGCAATGTGGGTTTCTATCATTTCTTAAAAAGAATATTCTGCAGTGTTCTTTGCAACTAAAAGGTAAATGCAGGCTCCTCTTCCTAGCTCATTACCAAAATTTAAGTTTCTCTCTTTGTCTCTTATCACTACAGCAGTAGTTTCCTTTCCTTTATAATATTTGAATACACTTTGACTATACTTTTTAAGTGGACATTATGCTATTTTGGGTCATTATGAATCCAAAATATGTTATTCCTAGACATCTTTTCTATACTCCATACAACACCTTTTTTTAAATTTTGGATTCTGCTGTTGGTTCTTTGTATTGGTAATGTTTAAGAATGTTGACAATTTTTTCACATGAATGACAGCTATAAAAATCTTTAAGAGACAGACATTTTCCTAATAATTAATGGAAAAGAAAAGAGACAAGCATCCAGAAATGTAGAAAGAATCTACACACTAGAAGCATGTGTTTCTCACATGTTTTTTCTTGTGCTGGACTAGTTCATGGCCTGTTGATTGCCTGGCTTGCTAAAGAAACAGGGACAAATGATAGTCATAGGCACTAAGTTTTAGGCACTAAGTATGTTAAATCAAGATTGATAAGAAAGTATACATGGAAAAATTAGTCTATTGATTCCTTGTTTTAAAAGCATCTGTGGATCAACTTTAGTTTCTTTTTATGTCTGTCTCTCTGTCTCTGTCTTTCTCTCTGTCTTTCTCTCTCTCTCCTCTCTCTCTCTCTCTTTCACACACACACTCACACACACACACACCCCTTTCCCAGAAGCAAAGAAAGGAAACAACTTAAAAATAAATGGTCTGGATTGTACTTGGTTGAGATGCAAAGATAACAGATTAAAGAGTGGAAAAGACAAAAAGCATATACCGGAGTATATTCAAGAGCTCCTATTTTAAAGACATATTTCTAAAATGAATTGTAATATTGATACTCCTAGTAGCAAAGAGTGTGTTCCCTTTGACAAAAGCTTTCCACATGTCAGCATCCTCTGTTTGGGAAGAATTCCTGAAGCAGAAATAACTGAGCCTCACCCTGCCTTCCAAGTGAATGAGTCTTTCCCTTCCTACTCGGGGCAAGTGAAAACTTGAGTTTAATAAAGGCTTGATCACCATCGGGAGTACAATAGCCACTTTGCCTGCATGTTGAGACACAGACTGACAAGGAGTCTCCCTAAGAGGCTGTGCTGGGCTTGTGTGGAAGGGTGATAGGGTCCTTTCCCACTTCCCCTATCTGTGTTATAAGCACTTGGTATCAGAACCACATATCCTCTAACTTGAGCTCATCATTTTAGAGTCAAAATTGACAAATGTAAAGGTTTTTATGTATAAATGGATCTTTTCTTTAAATGAGAAGCTCTAATAATGCTATCAAGTGGCAACCTTGTAGCTGTCAGTTTTAACTTGTATTTTTTGGCCTTTTTTTTTTCAGCTTGTATTGAGGATAGATGACGTATTTGAATCTAAGAGAGGGAAGAAGAGGGTTAAGTTACACCCTTACACTGGAAAGGAAGTGCTTCCCTCGAAAGGTAAGAATAGTATTTGTTCTAGCTTCTGTAGCTAGCATAGGAGGGAGAGTCATTGTACAACTTCACGTTTGATATGTATTAGAATTTTTGGTTTCCTTTCCTGTCTGCCCAAATTAAGTGTAACCTTTAGGATAAAGGCTGTTCTTCAAATCTTTTTTATTTAATTCTATGCCAAGTAATAAGTATTGGGTGAATAAATAAATGAAGATAATCATGTACCAATAAGACTAGTTTCATGGGTAGTTTGATTTTTTATTTTTATTTTTTTGGTGGGACTGGGTTTGAACTGAGGACTTCTTGCATACAAAGCAGGCACTCCACCACTTGAGCCACACCTCTTCATAGGCAGTTCAGTCATTATTTGGTAGTCTTACATTGATTTAAGCTCATTTATCAGTATGGACTCCTCCAGTGGAGAAATGAAAGTATTAGTTATCTATAGACTTGAAGGTATGTGGTTCTCTACTTGTAGTTTTATTTTGCATAAGCCTAGACAAAACTTACCTTGTCTTAATCAAAAAACTACATTCATGATGAATTATCAGAATCCTCATATAACACTCAAGTGAGGGCTGGGGATGTAGTTTAGTGAGAGAGTGCTTGCCTAACATGCACAAGGCCTTGAGTTTCATCTCTAGCACCTCAAAACAAAAACAAAACAAATAAAAGCAAAACCAGACCCCAAAACCTTGTGTGAGATTCTTGACTTGGTTGTCTGACAAAGAAAAATTTCCCTTAAAAAAAAAAACTACATTTTAACAACTTACCTATCTGAAAATAAAATCCTCACAGTGTTAAAACTTAAGATTCTATTCTTACTCTGTAATGATCAGGTTTGATTCCCAATCCTGTAAAACAACAACAACAGCAAAAAAAACTGGCCACTATTTTTAATGTGAGTTTTCTTTTTTTGTGGGGGGGGGGGCAGTACTGGGAATTGAACTCAGGACCTTATTCTTGCTAGGCAAGACCTCTACCTCTGCCACTTGAGCCACACTCCCAGGTCTTTGTATTTTCTTTCTTTCATTCCTTTTTCTTTTCCTCCTTCGTTCGTTCTTTCCTTCCTTCCTTCCTCCCTCTCTCTATTCCTGCCTCCCTCCCTTCCTCCCTCTCTCCCTCCCTCCCTCCCCCTCTCCCTCCCTCCCTCCCTCCCTCTCTCTCCTCCTCCCTTCTTCCTTCTTCTTCTCCTTCTCCTTCCTTCTCCTTTTCTTTTTCTTTTTTTGGTGGGACCAGTATTTGAACTCAGGACCTTGTGCTTGCAAAGCATTTACTCTACCTCCAGTCAATTTTGCTCTGTTTTTCTTCTGGAGATGGAGTCTTGTGTACTGTTTGCCCAGGCTGGCCTCAAACCAAGGTCCTCCCAATCTCAGCCTCCCAAGTAGCTAGTATTACAGGCATGAGCCACTGGCTCCCAGCAAGTTTTTTGTTTTCTTCTTTTTCTTTTTGTATCTCCTTCATTCACCCTCTCCCAAGTTTTTGTATTTTTCAAAGGCAAATATTAAAACATGTTTTAATCTTCTCCAGAGGAAAAGAAATACTTTGAGCCACCATTAGTAATAATAGCTTCCATTTATAGAAAAAAATAATAGTTTCTTTGCAGATTCTATCATACATGTATGACAAGGGGCCACACTAGGAGTTAGGGACTATCCTGATTTCACAGATGGAGAAGCTGACCTAGAAGAGGAAGTGTAGATCTGAATCCAGGACCATGACCACACCAAGTCTTTTTCTATCATGAACATTCACTCTTAATTTTTCTCATAAGCTTGAATTTTAGCAGTATATCTCTTCTCTGAATGTTGCCTTATCCTCAGCAAGGTTATTACCAAAGAACTTTTATTAGTATAGTTCAGAGCTAAAAAATACAGAAAATGAAAACTGATGACGTATATTGTGTTAGATCCTTTCCAGTGGATTAGTGTTAATTTTCTAAAGAACCTGTGTGGCAAATATTATTGTCACTGTTTTATAGATAAGGAAATAAATTATAAATTACAAATCATGTAAAAAATCAGGACAGTGGGGCCAAGATAAGTACTTGCAGCAGTCATTTTCTCAGATTAACAGGAGTCTGCTCGTATCTGCCCTCCATGTGCTCCACTCCATGTTGGTCATTGCCAATCCCTTACTTTATTTCTGTGCTTTATGCCTGATGAATTAGGATTTCAGTAAATTTGGCTGTAAGGCAAGTTTCATTTTGTTTTGAGATGAGGGTTTTACTGTGAAGCCCAGGCTGGTCTCTAATTCCTAAACCCAAGCAATCCTCCATATTATCTGGGATTGCAAGGGGCACCACACCTAGTTTAAGACAGGTTTTTGAAGAATCAAATCATTTTGTAAACTATATCATTGTTGAAAAGAAATGAAAATTCTTCAAAGTCTTGAATTGCCAACTTCTAACACCGGAAAAGAAAAATAAATAAGTAAAAAGATGCAATCCCATGCAAACCCCAGAAGTGCCAAAAAAAAAAAAAAAAGCAGTCCCTCATACATTGTAACCCTTCCCTAAAAGCTCAGTGAAAATAAGCATTTGTCCAGCCTCTGTGACCAACTCCACCAAGGATCAAAGGAGTTTCTCTCATGTCTGAGGATCTCCTGTCTCCATCATCACTGTTCTCTGATTTTCATTTTTCTCCTTAAGCTTTTGTCTGTGTACCAGCAGTTCTCATTCAAGCTAGTTAATTGTATATGCCTGCTGTGTTAGTACAGGCTAGGGTTTACTGAATATATTTCAGCCAAAACATTTCTAACCTTCAGTTTTCAAATGTTGCAATATGATTTACTGCCCTTTCTCGATGATCATTATAGTTTTATGTGTTGATGTTATGGATAAGAAAGGGACAACCTAGTGCTTTTTTGATTCCTGAAGATTCTCAGTAGATTTCCTTTTTGGCTCCTACCTCCCTTAACCTTCACTTACTGTCTTTGGACTCAGGTCATCAAAGCCCATAGATATCAGTATATCAAATCCACTTAACTGATCTTTAGTAAGGTCTTTTCCAGTTATGTTGCCTTTCTTCCTTTCCCCTTTTCTTTCTTTTTGGATACTTCATAAACTCCTAAGAGGTACCTGGTGCTAAGTACCCAAATACTTTTTTGCACAAATAGTCTTTTGTTATTCATACCTTGTATGGTTTCCTTTTATAAAAAGGCTTTTCAGTGTATTTCACAGCTTTTTCAGGATCCACACAGAGAGATCCTCATAGCTCTACTGTGTTTTATTGTATAGACATAAAATAATTTTATTAGGGCCTGGGATGTAGCTCAGTGAACGCTTCAGTTCAATCCCCAGCCCCTCAAAAAAATGTTTTTTTTTTTTTTTAAATTTAGTTTTGGTTGTTTCTAACATTTTATTTAACCTATGGGGATTTAAGTTTTGTGTGTGTGTATGTCACTATATGTGTGTATGTATATGTACCTTCAAATAATATTTCAACATGTATCCTTTTAGTTGTGTTTTTGTACATTTGTAAGAATACGTCTATAAGATAAGTTCATAGTAATGGACTTACTTGATCAAAGAAGAAATGGATTTACAATTTTTATACTTACATTTGTCCCATAAGCAGATTGCAACAGCTTGTTTCTACAAACAGCATTCATACATGCTTTTTCCATAATCTTCACCAGTGCTGTTTAGTTAAAGATTATTTTGTTAATAACAAGAGTGAAATTTGTATATTACTTATTATTTTAATTTACTTTTTTCATTACGAACTTGGGCAATTTTCATGTTTGCCAACAATTTATAAATCTTTTTCTATGAATTGCCTGTCTTACACTTTTGTCACTTCTTCTGTCATGTGCTCTATCAAGAAACTTAGCCCTATCTTCAGTGTGTGTACAGAAAATTTCCCAGGTTATTATTCACCTTTGGAGTTTACTAGGGAGTTTTTATTAGGTACCAATTTTGTAATGCTACATAATCAGACCTACATATGTTTTCACTTATGACTTCTTAGCTTTGCTTTTCTTGCTGAATTCAAAGATTTCCCCTTTCTTTGCATTTTTCTTATTTGCTTTAACTTTTAGTGTGTGGGTGTGCATGTCTGTCTGTGTACTGTTGAGGATCAAAATCAGGGCCTCACACATGCCATGAAAAAGCTATCCCACTGAGTCCCTAGAATTTTTTTTTTTTGTAAATTATCTATGTTCCTGGAATTAGAGTATAAAGCATTCCTTTGTTGGCTGGGGGTGTAGCTCAGTGGTAGTGTGCATACTCAGCATGTGCTCAGGCTTGAGTTCAATCCTTAGCACCAACCCCACCCTCAAAAAGACACAAAAGCCCCCCCAACACTCGCTTGTAAAACAGTTTAGTCCCTCTATCCTCAAGATTCTTAAAATGTGATCAGGAAAATAAGAACAACTCAAAGCAGTCTGCATACTATATGAATTCAGAGTAAAGTAGCAGTCAGTATGAGTTAGAGAAAGAGACATCATAGAAGAGGCAGTATGTTAATTCATAAGCTTACTTGATAATCTTTCAAAACTCCCACATTTTCTTATTGTTCTAAATTCATAGTCTTGTTGTTAAGATTTTTGCTTGATGTCTTTTTTTTGTTTTTTTTTAATCTGGAACTGGGGATTGAACCCAGGGCTTTGTGCACACTCAGCAAATGTTCTACCACTTGAGCTACACCCCCAGCCCTTTTGTTTTTATTTTTTTATTTTTTTGAGGTAAAAGCTTACTAACCTTGCCCAGGCTGGCTTTGAATTCACCATCCTCCTGCCTCTGCCTCTGAGTAGCTGGGCTTACAGGTGTTCAATACCATATCCTACTTTTGTTACTTTATTTGGGAATATACAGAAAGGATTTGAATGTAAAAATAGAGTCTTGAACTAAACTTCTTTAAAATAGTCTGAACGACTAGTTTAATTTCTAGAACTAGGGCAGTGAGGGGAGTTGAGTATTGAGGTAGAGTGTAGAAAAAAGTCCTCTAAGTTTCAGATTGAACATCATTCTAAGTACCACAGTGAAGTCTCAGTCCATCCTGGTCCTTCCTTCCCAGGTTGTGAATCATCGCTTTGTCTGGCTCTCTAATTCTGTATACACTACCCATCTGTTAGTTAGCAGATTGACTATTGGTTTATCATGTTCAAGTAATCTTTATGTATCGTTAGAATACAATACATCACAGTGCCTACACCGTTACCTCACTTCATCTCATCACATAGGCATCATATTATCTCACATCATCACAAGAAGTGGAGTGAGTACAGTGCAATAAGACATTTTGAGAGAAAGAGGCCACATTCATATAAATTTTATTGCAGTATATTATTATAATTGTTCTAGTTTATTACTAGTTATTGTCAGTTTCTTACTATGCCTAATATGTAAATTAAATTTTCTCATAGGTATATATGTATTGGAAGAGAACATAGTATATCTAGGATTCAGTATTGACAACAGTTTCAGGCATCCATGGCGAGTGAGGTCTTGGAACATATCCTCTATAGATAAGGGGAATCCACTGTATTTGCTTTGAGTGACTGTCCTAACTTGACACAACTAAGGTTTGGAGAAAGACTCAGGTTCCTCATTACTCCTTACTCCAAGTGCCCAGGTCTGTGAAGGTTCTACATTGCTCTCATCCTCATGTATTTCCTCCTTTTGGACAATACAACTGGAAACTCTTCTTTTCTTTTCAGGTGAAACCAGTGGGAACGAAAGCGATGCCGAGTATCTGCCAAAGAGTGAGTGAGTCAGTGAGGCTGCTCCCTTTCTCGTGATGATCCTGGCAATGGGTGGAGTGACACCTGCCTTTGTGATTAAGCATGTTTTTTTTCCCACATGAAGTTTCATTTTGTAGGTCATTTCTTCATTTTGAGAACCTGTTGAGATTAGGGGAACCAAATAGTATGCAGTCAGATGCTCAAGAGCTTTAAAAATTTCCCATAGTGAAGTGAGGCAAACTCGTATGGTTCCTAGGATGGAATGTTCTTAGGGGAACAGTACAGAGCTGCATGCCCAGACATATATGCAGTAGTTTCGTGGCAGCCAAAAGAGAGTCACCCTCTGAGACAAGTACTTAACATTAAATAACTGATTTTTCATAGTAACTTAAGTATAATTACCAAGTGACTTTGACATCTCTGACATTGGAAAAGGAAACATCCATTTTTACTCATAGGCGCTTACATTTCAAATTACTGTGCTGTTTATATTAGAAGACAGAATGCACCATGCACTTACGGTGCTCTGTATATCTTTGTCTGATGAATTGTCACAGCAAGTGACTTGCTTCCTGCTTAACTGGCATACTGAGGCATAGGAGAATAGGAGACATGAATTACCAAAGCTGAGTACAGGGACGTTCCAAGCCTGACACTCTAATCTTATGATTAATAGTCTTGTGCTCCCTCCACTGACCTTCATTGCTTCAGATGTTTGATTCTGTAGCCTGACTAAAGGGGAAACTTAAGACATCGCCAGGTTCAGCCTTGATGTATAAGGATGACTAATTTAGTGCTATTTATTGGTAATGAGGAAGGAATAATTGCTTGAGTTCAACTCAACCCTTTGAGGTAAGTAAAGTTTTGGCTAGAACACTGAATGTACTGGGTGATTCTAGGGAGCCATTTCTAGTTGTAGGTTTTGAGTTTTTAATATTTTGATCTATAGCATGACTTCTTTTGGGGAAAAATACATTATATTACAAAAAGGAAAGAACAGGACAGTCAAAGGATGTGCCTTTTTTGGCCTGTAACTCACAATGCACAAAAGACAGTCTCTGGAATTCTTAAGACTATTTTCTTTGCTAGTATACCACTTCCTCTAGTGGAGATTACCTCAAGTTGTTCAGAATTTAGAGATAAGTTAGAATAGAGGATAGATTTGGGGTTTGGGTGGTAGAGCCACATACTGTTTGAATAGTATGCTTCCTGCTGGGTGTGGTCATCCTAGCACTAAGTCTGAGGTAAGGGGATCTCGAGTTTGAGGCCAGCCTGGGCTACATAGTGAGACTTTGTCTCAAAAAGCCAATGAGGGGAAAGGGGGGAGGTGGCCCAAATAATGTATATACATGTAAGTAAATGTAAAAATGATAAAATAAAATTTTAATAAGCCAGTCAGTACAGTGCTTCTGTAATTTCATTCTTTTGAGGAATAGTGATTGCTTCCTCTATTTTTTTGTATTGCTGGGGATTGAACCCAGAGCCTTGCACATGCTAGGCCACTACCACTCAGGCTGTACCACTGAGCTACATTTCTAGCCTCATTTTTCCCTCTTGAATGTAGCACCATTTATTAATTAAGCACATATCCATTGTTAGTAATATTTGCCAAGGAGAGAAAAGGCCAGCTCTTCAATGTGAGCATAACTATTGTTTTAATGTTATCAGACTCACCCCTTTCTATACTTAGGCTTTGTAGGACTCAAGTTTGTTTTTTTTGCTTTTGTTTGTTTGTTTGTTTTTTAAGTCAAATCTTCCTCTCCACCATGACTCCCCAGCATTGACATTTATTGTCAGTCTAGCATTTTCCCACCTGTTTTCCATGTGCTCTGGTGTGCAGCCATAAAAGATAGAATAGCATAGAGAACATGTTAGCCATACGTAGCATATTGGTTAGGACATGGAATGTCAGTCCCACTGCTGGTCAGAGGAGCAGCACTTGCAAAGGTCTGTGCTTGTCCTCTGAATGCATCAAAACCCAAACTGGAATGTCTGTATGGCAGATACTGGGTGGTCAACATTCATTCAGCAATGACTGTGTGAAGATTAGTCCTACATGAGTGATGACTTCTAGGGCTGCTTTTATTACAGATCGCCACAAGCGCTTAGCACAGCTGCAGCAGTCTTCCAAGAGGAATCCTCACTACCAGACCTTGGAGCGGGATCTTATTGAACTGCAGGAGCAGCAGCTATTTGAACTTTTTGTGGTGGTATCTCTACAGAAGAAGCCATCAGGAACAAGCTACATTCCCCAAGTCATACAGCAGTTCCCTAGCAAGGTAGGTGCAAGGAGGCCAAGAAGCATTTGGGCAAGTTTCTGTGTGCTATGCAGATTTGCAGATTTATGTCCTGTCTTCCTGCTTGTTATCTCACCCAGCCTTTACCAGTACTATATTTGGTGTAGTAGGTGGTAAGTGACTTGATGGCCTCTCACATGAGGCACAAGCTATAGGCAAATAGGGGGAGGAGGGACCAAGCTTATACCCAGGCCAGTTTTTTATATTTGGTTTTACATCTAGTAATTTGGCAAATTACAAAGCCTCACATCTCTCCTCCCTAGTGAGAGGAAGAAGAATGCTGCAGAATCAGGTAGTGTGGTATTACATGGATTCTGAGCCAGCACTGTATTCGCCACTTACTAGCATTGTGGCTGTGTAGCAGGTACTTAACCGTACTATGCCTGAGTTCCTTCATTTATAAAATGGGGTTGAATAGTATCTACCCATTTGAGCTACAGTAAGCTTGTTTTTTTCTTTCTGTACTGGGGTTTGAACTCACAGCCTCAAGCTTGCTAGGCGGGCAATCCATCACTTAAGCCCTTGAGCCACGCCCTCAGCCCAAGCCATTGTAAAGTTTAAATGAGCTAATTCTAATTCTAAGGCACTTAAAACAATTTCATCATATAGTAAGTGAACTCTTCATGTAATGCTATCTGTTGTTAGTAAGGACAGAATGAGATAACACATGTAAAGCTTAATGAACTTGTACATGTAAGGTGCCTCATGTAGTTCCTGGCACACAGTATGCACTTGATAAATGGTAGCTGTTATTATTAATTTTTTTTTGGGATAGAGTCTTGCTATCTAGTCAGAGTTGGCCTCAAACTGGCAATCTTGCCTCAGCCTCCCGAGTGCTGGGATTGTAGGCGTGCCCAGCTTTGCTGTTACTAACACTATTACTTGGTTTGTTCTTCCATTTTTGAAAAAAAAAAAACATTCATTCAGCCAAGTATTGTGGTGTACACCAGTAATTCCAGCACTCTGGAGGCTGAGGTAGAAAAATCACTGGTTTGAGACCAGCCTGGGCCACATTGAGAGAGCCCCTGTCACAAAAAAACAAAAATCATCCATTGGTTTAAAAAATGCCTACTGTTTTCCAGGATTAGATGAAAAGAGTACAAAAATATTAGATGATGAAAGTGAGAAACATTTTCTTAATCCCTGCTTCACAGAGGTAATTGAACTTGTGAGCAAATTGAACCCACAGATTTGTTTCTTTTGGATTTGCAGAGTGCTTTGTAAAAATGACATCAGTTATATACACATATGTATTATATGCATATGTACATGATTATATACATATATATGTATATATATTCATATATTGGTGGTGATGGGGTTTGAACCTAGGGTCTTTTGCATTCTAACCAAGCCCTCTACTACTGAGTTACACTCTTAGCCAACATCAGTGATTTTTGTTTTCAAATTTCAGGGACTAGGAATATCATTCCTGTGCAAGGCTCTGAGTTCATTTAATCTCCAGCACCACAAAAGAAAAAATTCAAATTTCACATACAAGTTTGTAGTTGTGCCTTTCCTGAGAAACTGGAAAGACTGCCAACACTTAACCTGCATTCCTAAGTGTCAGGAATTGACTGAAGCTTTGGAAAGAGCAGGACTTCATGGGTCGATGCAGTCACACAGTGCCGCTCGCTGGGAAGAGCCCTGCACTTGGTGTTTAATGCTCTGAAGTCACAGTCTTGATGTGCTTAATAATTTTATCTTCAAATTTATGTTTTTTAAATTGAACTCTGATTGGCCAGTTTGACTGTGTCAAGGTCTTAAGGGTTTGGTTCATGCACAGCCTCCTATTGATCCTGCTGATCCCCTGGGATGGGATTGCTAAAACCTAATCCCCTGGGCTCTCTTTCCATCTCCACAAAGTGACTGCTGCCACCTTCTGTCCCTGGAAGGGGCTTGGGCATAGGCATGGGGAAGGTTTAGGAATCAAGTGGGTGTTGCCCTGCAGTGTCTCCACACAATGCATGGAGACATCCCTTCCTCCTCTGGACTGGTGGTGCCACATTTACTAAGTGGACAACTTGGTAGAGGTCAGCCTTCCCACCATCCCCAGTCCACGTACTGAGTACATCCTTGTGTGGAACCTATAACCCCTGGGGCTTGCCTAATTGCCATGAGCAGACTGTCAGTTCTGCTGCTGGCCAGAGAGGAAATGTAGAAGCTAGTGGGCCACTTGTGCACTAGATCACAGGCCCCAGCCCCTGAGTGCCTGTGAGGGTCTGCACTGCACTCCCACCCCCTGCCATACTTGAGCCTAGGGAATATGACATTAAATAGCAAATAAAACCCCAGGACAGGTTGAGAGACCACAGGAGAAAGGACAAAGACATGCATTTTATATTAAATTTTTCCTGCTCTTTGAACATAGGCCCCATATTTTAATTTTGCACTGTGCCCCAGTAATGAGTGATCATTTTAAGTAGGTCACTTACTTGCTTTTCAACTTACGACTTACACTCTTCTCTTTTTTAAGTTATCTGCTGTTCACTTTGGGACTTTGGGTTTATAACCCTGAGTTATATGTTTAGCTAAAAATGTTAGTGAAACACAAGTGTTCTAGAATCTGAGAGGCATTTCCTGCATGGATTCTCACCTTTAAAACATCTTCAGCCAGGTGCCAATGGCTCATGCCTATAATCCTAGCTACTCAGTAGGCAGAGATCAGAAGGATTGAGGTTTGTGGCCAACCTGTGCAAATAGTTTGAGAGACCCTAGCTTGAAAATATCCAACACAAAGAAGGGGTGGTGAAGTGGCTTAAGTGATAGAGCATCTCCCTAGCAAGCATGAAACCCTGAGTTCAAACCCCAGTACCACGAAGAAAATTAAGAAAACATCTTCAACAGCACCAGCCATGGTGGCGCACCTCTGTAATCCCATCACTCAGGAGGCTGAGGCAGAAAGATTTCAGATTCAATGCCAGCCTGGGCTTATGGTGAGACCCTGTCTCAGAAAACAAAACATCTCTGTAATAAGTAAGTCCACAAGTTTAATTTCCCATGAAGTTCTTCAGTGTAGTCTGAGGGCACAGTGTCATAGTATATTGGTTAGGAAAACAATAGTATAATAGTCTAAAATAATATAATCTAGATAGCCTTGAGAAATCAAATTTCCTATCAGAAATTAAGAGGAGCTTAATTTTTTCCTGTGATTCTGATTAGTCTTTAAATTGGAGAGAGAATACTAAGCCTGAATGAATAGACTCAGAACCAAAGTACTTGGTCAACTCTGGCAGTGACTGGGGATGTCTCTAAGTAAACTTAGTACCTCAGAAACTCATCAGTAGGGGGAGAAAGCCAATCCTGAATAGTTCCCTTTTGGTCTCTGTTGTGGAAAGCCTTGACTGAAGATAATTGTGACTCATTTAAATAAAAATTATAGACTATGATGCAAGTAAAAATTTGCTACATGTGTTTCCTTTTTTTATTTTTCCTCTGAAGAGCTGGGGATGGGACCCAGGGCCTTGCACATGCTAGGGAAGTGCTTTCATTGAGCTACAACCCCCTCACCCTGATGCTTCTCTTGTGTGTGTTTTATGCAGCATTGGGTTTGAACTCAAGGCCTCTCACACGACAAGTATTCTGCTGCTTGAGCCACACTACCATCCCTTTTTGCTTTATGTGTTTTGTATTTACACACAGGCTGACCTGGATCCAGAGCCTCACAGGCTGACCTGGATCCAGAGCCTCCTATTTATGCTCCCTGAAGGATGACAGGCTCATGCCACCATGCCCAGCTTTTATTGTTTGAGATGAGGGTCTCATGAACTTCTTGCCCAAGCTGGCCTTGAACCTTGATCCTCCAGATCTCCAGCTCCCAAGTAGCTAGGATTACAGATGTGAGCTACTATGCCCAGAATTGTTCCGTTTTTTAAGAACTTAAAATCCATGTGAGTCAGAATGGCCATTTTTTTTTAAGAAAGTAGAAGACAGTAACTTCTGTTGATTATCTAAAAACAATATGATAGCTAGACTTACATGATTGTTTTATAAGAGGACAGTCGTACTAATTTCTGGATGTCTTTTGGTTTAACTAAATTTAGGCTGTCTTTTAAAGTACAATACCACACATTTACAAGAGTCTTCCATGCTAAAATTTTACAGGAAGTTGCAAACCAGTAATTTGTTAGCAAAAATTATATGCTAAGGAAAATGATTATATATGGGGTGAATTCTAAAAATTGTATCTTTTCTAAATAACATTCATCTGCATTTTCAAAGTATCCCTGATTATTGATTAGAGAATATTCTGAGCTGACTACATTTTGCTCTCAGTAATACTGTAGAGTGGATTTTTATCTTATGTGCTATGATTCATAAAAATACTGGGTGTGAATACTAGTGTGTGAATCTGAATTAAGATTCTGCCTCTAGATAAAAATCTCTTTTCAACCATCTTCCTTACATGAAATTATAGGGTCTCCCACAGGTGCCATTTCTGTTTAAAAATAGTATTCTTCCATCTGTAATGTTTTCAGTGCATCTTCAGTGACTTCCAGTCTTCTTCTTCCTGTTTTGTTAAGCAGTCCAAAACCACACTAAGAGAAACATCTGCTCAGGCTTGTCAGAGATCTCTTTTCCCAAGACCAGGCTGAGGTTTTTATTTCTGTTCTCCACTGTCATAGAATAATGTCGCATATGGTGTTATATATTTTCAGGGCGATCATGGCTATAAGCAATCCAAAGACACTGAAGAGAGGCTTAAAGTTATCCCAAAATTTTGTTTTCCTGATTCAAAGGACTGGGTGCCAACTTCAGAACTCAAGAGGTAAATGGAGTGCCTCTTCTGATTTCTATGTGTTGGAACTGCAAAAATAGAATCTGAGTATTTGAGAAATGGATAGAGCCAGGAGTAAACCATGTGAACACTGGCAGATGAAGGATTCACTGGGAGGAAAGGAAGAAACAAAATTAGAACATTTCCTATGTGGGGCTTGAAAAAGACAAAACAATAATTTCAGTGAGAAAGAGAAAACAAGTTTAAGAGTCTCTTCAGTTTGCCAGTTCTGCAGAAAAAAAATAGGTCCACTTTACATACAATAAGAAGTGGCCCAAAGTGGGCAGAAAACAAAAAATGACTTAATCTTTGGGACCGTAGACCTAGAAACAGAGAAAACAGAACAGTGCCTTAGCCTTTTTCTCCTTCAAGTTGATAGACTAGATTATATGTCTCACATGGAACTCGGCAGAGGGAGACTCCAGTTTGGGAGGTGTGAGTATATTGAGAAGGGAAACACTCAATACTTTCTTCCAGGTATTTATAGGAAATTACCATTTTAAATTAATAAACGATCATCATCTCTGAACTCTGTTTTTAAAAATAGGTAACTGCTTCACTTGAAACTAATTATTGAGCTGGGCATGGTGGTGCAGGCCTGTAGACTTGGCTACTTGGAAGGCCCATGAGTTTTAAGGCCAGCCTGGGTAACATAGCAAGGCCCTGTACAAAAAACAAACAAACAACAATGAACCCTAAAGTATATGTATGATGTTATTTAGACTGAAAAGCTTGATTAAGTGAAACATGTCTCATGCTTATGACCTGTTGGATGATAGTCTCCACCATTGCCTAAGTAACCCTGCCCACATTCAGACCTAGCTGCCACCTCCCATGAGCAGTTTCTTTTGATCCCCACTCTGCACTTCACAGCTGTCAGCGTTGATGCTTTTGTGTTGTCAGTTCCACTGCTGACCACATAACCAGATTCTTTCATTGTGGCCTGGCTTCTCCAGGGCTGGCTTTTCCCCCTAGCTTATTCATGTTTATTTTAGTATATTTGGAAAATATAGGAGAATAAATGAAAAGCAGAATTAGGAATCATTCACAACTTGGTTACTCTGTAATCACTGTAAATATTTTAGCATAGTCTTTTCCACACTTTATTTTGGCCATATACAGCTATATATTATTCATTATTTAAATTTGGGGGATTTTGATTATTATGAGTTTCTTTCTTGAACATCTTGGGGTGTTCTGTTTATAAATCATTTATGTTTATCTTTTGGCCCTGTTTCTAATGAGTAGTTTCTATTTTCCTATTGATTTTTACATATTAAGGATATAATCTTTTTCTATCACTGTTCCATACGTATGGCATCTCAGGACTAAATAGAATTTACAAGGAAGAAATGGGATATATCAAAATCCTTTATAGCTTGCCTATACATATGACTAAATTGGACAGTCAATGAAAGGAAAATAGGATTGATTGATAGCTAAAGTAGATAAATACGAAAGAAAACAGCACCAACGGCTTATCCCTTACCTGTTCACTCACTCCAGCATAAGGGAATATATTCTCAAGACCCAAACTTACCTTATGAAGAATGTGACTTGAAATGAATGTAATATTAATGTCTTCTCTTAGATCAAAAAATGATTGATACTGTACCCCAATTTTTGATTGTTTGTTCCCTGAGGAATGCTATAAGCAGTTGTTTAGAGCTCAAAGTAACTGTAACTATGGGCTATTTTTTCAGTGAAACATTCTCCTTTGTCTTGACTGGAGAAGATGGAAGTCGATGGTTTGGTTACTGTAAGAAGCTCTTGGTAAGTACCAGACCTATGCCACAGAGAGAGTTGATCAAAGGTCAACAGGGTCAGACTAGGAACTTCAGAAGGAGTTGAAGGTCTGTTTAGAGATCTGTGTATTAGAGAAGCTTTACACAGCAAGAGCAAAGTGGAGGTGACCTATATGGAGTGTTCCAGAATAGAAGGGCTATGATTTATTTCACTTATTTATTTGTTTGTAATAGAGAACGTAACTATGGACATAGTGGCTGAGTATCAGTGTGGTGTATTTGAAGAATAGAGTACAGTGAGCCAATTGAGGAAGCTCTGAGTTACTTGCCAACCATTTTAGGGTTTTCTTCTTGTTTAGGTGCCTCTAATAAACCGACAATAAATTATGCTGTGGTTTGTAGCACTTCCTTCATCCTTCAGTGATCACTGGGTTCAGAGCCTCAGGTGCTGCCTTATACTAAACAATATTAAAAGAAATCAGACATGGTGGCACAGCCTGGGGTTCCATCTACTCAGGAAGCTAAGGCAAGAACATTGCCTAGTCCAGAAGTTCAAGGCCAGCCTAGCGACATAGCAAGACCCCATCGAAAAACAAATGCTAAAAAGGGTATTAATAGTCCAAATTAGCAAACACTTGTGCTGCTTGATTTTTCTTTTCTTTTAGCCAGAAGGCAAAGGAAGGCGACTTCCTGAGGTATACTGCATGGTTAGTCGCCTAGGCTGCTTCAATCTCTTTTCAAAGGTGAGTGAAGAATGGGCTCTGAGAAAGTGATACTCTCTGGGTACTGAGGTTTTTGTTGTTCATGACTTCACTGGCCAGTGTCAGGTGGCATGGACTTCAACATGCTACTTTAGAAACGCTCCCTGTTAGTAGATAAGGAGCCACAGGCTTAGTGGCTTTAACTTAGATGTTGAAACCAACCACCATTGCTTTATTATTGTTATTGATTTGCTAAAACTCCCAGTTTTAAAAGAACACAGCCTGAAGCTTTTCTTGTCTCATGTTTTTCCTAGAACCTAAACTGCAGGATTTCACTGTCAGTGTGACGTCACTTACCCCTTCCTTACTGAAATGAAAAGAGGCTTCTCTTCTAAAAATTAGTTGATTTGTTAGTAACTTTTCTTGGGGACTGTAAAGATACCCCCAAAAGCTATGATGCTGTAGTGAACTTATATTGATGGCAAAAGCTTGTCTATCTCAAATTCTAATGCTGTTGTTTTCAAGTGTGTATGTCCAGTTTAGCAGTTTCTGTAATTGGATTCTTTTGTGTTTTTGAACTAAGTCCATAATGAAATGATACATTTTGCATGTAGATTCTGGATGAAGTGGAGAAGAGGAGAGAGATGTCTCCTGCCCTTGTGTACCCGTTCATGCGAAGTGTCATAGAGGCTCCTTTCCCAGCTCCTGGACACACCATCACAGTCAAGAGTCACCTGCCTGGAGCTGGAGATGGGGTAAGTTAGCTCAGTTTGAAGGCATTTAATAGCCAGCAAAGAACAGGCCTATAGGAGAGTAATACTTCTCTTTTCCACAAACTGCAAATAACATTTTTTATTCTCATAAGGCACTGAAGAAACATCCAGTTAATCTGTGAGACAGTTGAACTTCAACCCAAGACCCAAAGATTTCCTACCAAACATAGATTGGGCCCCCCTGGAGTGACAATTTCAATGTGATAAATGACAATTACACATGTTATTGTCAGATGGAATGATTTTACCAGAATGTTACTGCACAAAAAAGTAAGCTCGTAGACCATTGGCATTAGTGTAGGCAGCCTTAAAAACTCTTTGTAGCAGATTCTCTTTCCTGAATTTGAGGAAAGAATGAGAAGGACTTATCAGTGTTGTCATTAGGGGCTGTTTTCCAACATCAGCCCTCCTGATTCACATTCTTGCCTTTCAGTCAATTGAACTCTGCCGACCACTAGACTCACGACTGGAACACGTGGATTTTGAGTGTCTTTTTAAGTGCCTGAGTGTGTGTCATCTCATCCGGGTTTGTGCCTCGCTCCTTCTGGAGCGGAGGGTAATCTTTGTTGCTAATAGCCTCAGGTAAGAAAGAGCTGAAATATATTACTTTGTGCTGGTGTTTCTCTTGTTCTTAGTGTTTTAAAATTTGGGCATAGTAGGGTTGTGGACATGGCTTAAGTGGTAGAATGCCTGCTTACCAAATGTGAAGTCCCGAGTTCAAAGTCCAGTACTGCCGAAAGTAAAATAAATACAGTTTAAAAACAAATTAGGTGTAGTAAAAAAAAAATCTAGAACCAGTCCCTCAATTACCTACTGGCTAAAGTGACATGAATAATGCCAAATGTAATAGAATATTCTTTTGTATTAGGTTGAACAGTATCTTTTTGTAATAGATTTCTTTTCTAAATGCATTTTGCTTAAACTGTTGTTAAAAATTAGTTCTGCTAGCTGAGCACAATAGTTCACACCTGTATTCCCAGCTGTTTGGGAGGCTAAGGTAAGAGGACTACTTGAGCACAGGAATTCAAGGCCAGCCTGGGCACCTGCAACATAGCAAGACCTCATCTCTTCCTTCCTCCCTCCCCTCCCTTTCCTCCCTTCATTTTTTGGTGGTCCTGGGGTTTGAACTCAGGGCTTCGCCTTGCTAGGCAGGAGCTCTATCACTTGAGCCATGGCCCCAGTGCTTTTTTGCTTTAGTTATTTTTCAGATAGGGTCTCATGCTTCTGTCTGGAACTGATCTTGGACCATGATCCTCCTACCTATGCCCCACTCATTGCTGGGATTACAGGTATAACCACCATGCCTGGCTTGTTTTCTGAAATGGGATCCCACTAACTTTTTGCACATGCTGGCCTCAATCCATGATCCTCCTGATCTCTAGCTCCAGAGTAGCTTGGATTATAGGCATGAGTCACTTTTCTGGCTCGCAAGACCCCATCTCTTTAAAAACAACAAAAACTGGTATTTCTTTTCTACATGAACATTAATTTTTAGCATGATAAATTATGGAGAAGAGCTGAATTGAGACCAAGTATTTTCAGTAAATTAAGTTACAATTTTAAAATGTTAAAAATTAATGTGTATTCACAGGGCTGTTAATCTGTGAACATTATCTAGCATCTACTAGTAGTTCTTAAACATAATATCTGAAATGTCCTACATATGTGGCACTGTAAGAAACACCATTTGTTTGTCCTCTGCCTAGCACCTTGTCTAAATGTGGCCACGCTGTGGTAGCTACATTATATCCATTCACCTGGCAGCACACCTACATCCCAGTCCTCCCAGCATCTATGATTGACATTGTGTGCTCACCTACTCCATTCCTTATTGGAATCCTTTCTTGCTCCTTACCACAGCTCCAGGACCTACCCATTGAGGAGGTAAGACAGAATAAATGGAAACTACTTCTGCACTGGCAGATGAAGCTGACTTGTCTTTCAAGAGTATAGAATTGTTATTAACTAATCTGTTAGCTACTAATTTATTATGCCTGCATATTTTTAGTACCTTTTTATTAAAAGTGGAAAAATTCTCTAGTTCACATGAACCCAAAGCTCTCTTAATTATAGTGGTGAGCAATGAGCTCATTCTTGTGTTATTCTGAAGGATAGTGTTTTCTTTTTTAAGTCAGATATAAAAATTATTCTGGGTTAGCTTAAAAATTATTTTTAGCAATTGTTCCAAATAAAAAATGCTTCAAATATAGCACACATACAGATAAGGGCCCTAAACTAACAAAATATACAACTTAGCAAATTATCACAAAGTGAACACTTAATGTAATACAACATTGGAATGGATGAAACACTACAGCAATGGAGTCAGTGCTGGCACCCTAGAAATCCCCATTACACCTTCTTCTAATCTCAGGCCCCTTCAGCTTCCCCACAAAAGGTCACCACTGTCTTGACTTTTATGGTGTTCGTTTACTTCTTTTTCTTCATAGTTTTATCTGCTAGGCATGTGTCCCTAAACAAAGTAATTCAGCTTTTCCTGGCTTTAAGCTTGATATAAATGGATTCATATAATACAGTTTTTGTCTGTCTTCTTTGACTCGACATTGTGCGTGTAAGATCCATCCAGATTGATTTAGCAATAGTTGGATCATTCTAATTGTGTATTGTATTCCATTGTGTGAATGTACCACAGTTTTATTATCCATTCTTACGTTGATGAACATTTGAGTTGTCTCTACTTCAAGATTATTATAAATACTCCTGTTATATATTCTTGTACATGACTCTTATACACACATGCATCAAGGTTCTGTGGGTATATACTCTGAAATTGAATTGCTGGCTCAATTCAATTTCATACTTTCAACTTTAGTGAGTAGAATCAAACTGTTTTCCAAAGTGGTTGCACCAGTTTAAACTTCCAGCGTGTTTAAGAGCTCCTGTTGCTCCACTTCCTTGCCAGTATTGCCATGGATTTGTATAGTTTATCCTCCTCAGGTTGGTGGGTATGGAGTGGTATTCTTACTGTAGTTCAGTTTGCATTCCTGATTATTGTTGATTATGTTTATTGACCATTTGAATATCATCTTTTGTAAAATTTACATTCTTTCTTTTTAAACTGTATATTAATAAATACTACAAGGGGATTCATTGTGATAATTTCATAGATGTGTACAGTGTACTTTGAACAAGTTCACCCCACCATTATATTCCCCAAAATAGTGTTTGGTGGGTTTTACTACGCTATCTTCACTCAGATATATACCGTACTTCCATCCTGTTCAACCCGTACTGTTTCCTTCCCTTATCCTGTCCTTCTACTGGATTATTTTCCCTTTTACTGACTTGGGGGTTTCTTCGGTGCTGGGGGTAGAACCCAGGGCTTTACACATGCTAAGTGAGTGCTCTACTACTGAGCTACTCCCCAGCCCAAGATGTCGTCTTATATTCTGAAAACCAGCTTCTGTGTGGGCCTTGCCTTTTCAGTTCTTTAATGCAAAGGAGTTCTTAATCTTAGTGTGGTTCAATTTGTTAATATTTTCTTTTATGTTAATGATTTTTGTGACCTACTTAAATTTTTTATATTAGTGAAGATTTCTTTCTCCTTTATTAGTTTGCCTTTACTTTTGTTTCTGACTGCACCTTATACTTAATTTTCTTATGCATAATGTGAAGTAGCAGTCATTTTTTAATGGATACCTTCCTGTTCCACTTATTGCAGGGCTATTCTTCCCATACTACTCTGTTACATTGGCCTTGTATTTTTTAATCTACAGGTGTGTGCATCATTATTTTGTTCATTGTATTTGTTGTTCTGATGGGTCAGCTTTTAAATGGGCTACAATGTGGAGTAAATTTTGCTTGAAACTGTTCCCATTGCCTGAAAGAATCAACACCCATGGTGATCTAGCAGAGTGTAATGTAATTTGTCTGAGAATGTCTCTGGTTGAACCTGCCTGGCTCCTTTATTCCATAGGTGCTGATAGTTGATCTTTGTGCAGACAAGTTCTTACAGGAGGTGAGTGACAAAGATGTTGATTACATAATATTTGGGGATATAGGTCTCTCTGTATATAATTGAACAGAAAATACATGAGAGTACTTAGAGAAAATAACTCGGGAAAGACTTAGTTCCCACCCATACGTGAATTGACACTGTAGCCAATCATACAAGGTTGACCTGAAAAATTTGGCTTGGATTTATAGCTGTCTATCCCAAAGAAGGAAGAAGGAAACAGAATAAAAGTCATTCTCATTTGAAGTAACCATCCCCATAGCGTTTACTAAGCTGAGAATGTGGCTCAGTGATAGAGTGCTTGGTTTGCATGCACAAGACTGTGGGTTCCCACCTCAGCACCACAAGAAGAAAAGCATTGAATATTTCTAGATATTCTGTTAGGCAGTCAGAATCTAAATATGAGTAGTAAAACATAGTTTAAGCACTCTGGTCTTAATAGACCAAGGTGGCATATATAGAAAGTTTTAGAAATGGCATAATAGAAATTCAAATAGGTATAGTAGAGGCAAGTGGTCATTTCTAGTGGATATTGAAGTTAATGTGAAGCCTTCTCAGAGAAGCCCTCTGGATGTAAACTGTATATGGATTTGTAAGCATTGACACTGGATGAAAGGAATGAGAACATTTTCCAGGACTTGATCTTTTTTCAGAATCAATTAACTCATCACATTTGAAATAACATTTATTTAGGGAATGATCTAGGAGACATAGAAGGAGACTTGAAGATGAGAGATTTGGTTTAAAAAAGTGCCAAATGGGTAGGCATAGTGGCTCATGGCTCAAGTGGTAAAGCAAGTGTGAGGCCCTAATTTCAAGCCCCAGTACCGCCAAAAAAGAAGTGCCAAAAATTTGTACATGGTATATTTATTTTTAACTATTGTTTATATATATAATGTCCATATATATGTAAAATCCATGATGTTTGTGAGATACATATATACACACATGTAGAAAAGAGAACTCCAGACTGACTGTTCAGCCAAAAGATACACAAATCATTTGTAGAATTTGGGGAGGTTGAACTGATAAACTTTTGAGACTTTTCGCCTTGAAGCTCATACAGAATTTCAGTTATTTCTCTCAAGGTATCTGATGAAGATGAAATTCTGCCACCTAAACTTCAGGCTGCCCTGATGCAGATTTTGGAAGAACGAAATGAAATCTTGGTTCATGAGCAGAATTTTTCACAAGGTATGAGACAAGTGGGCCGAGGTCTTAAGGTTAAGGCAGTAAATATTTGTGGAATGCCCAACACTCTGCTAAAAGGTAGACAAAAGTAGCATTTGATTGCCTGAACCTTGAAAGTCTTATAATCTGCTTCCTTGTTGATCCTCAATATGCTAGTCCCCTTTTATTTCAGGGCCTTTGCACTTGTTCAGTTACATTTACAGAATGCTACTCCCCCAGATACCTAGCCAGCTCCTACCATTTCTTTCTGAATATCCATGCTTACATGTTTTCTCACGGAGTTCTTCCTTACTGTCCTGTTGAATTGTACCTCTTTCCCTAGTGCTTGCTGTTTCTTCTCCTTGTCTCATTTTTCCCCTACAGCTTTTATCCTATGGAATATAAGCTTCTGGGAGCAATGGCTTCATTTTGTTCTTTACCTTCTACATTTTAAACAGTGTTCAGTGTGTAAGTACTCAATAAGTATTTTTGAATAAATGGGCAAATATTATTTATTGGGTACTTACTCTGTACCAGGCATTATACTAAGCACTTAGCATACATTTTATTTTATCCTTATAGTGTCCTTGTAAAGCAGGTATCACTATGTAATCCCATTTTCGCAGATGAGAAAACTAAGGCTATTTACTGGTGGAAACATTAGGGAAGGAGCAGAGTTAGAGCAGTAACAAGCATAGTGATACACACTTACAGTGCCAGCACTTAGAAGGCAGAGACAGTAGGATCATGAATTCAAGGCCAGCCAGGATACTATTTGGATATGGAAGAAAAGGGGAGAATCTGAGCTCTCAGCCTGCAGCCTGGAAGGCATAGTAGATGATAGTTGTTAAGAATCACCTGACTTGGGAGTCCAGCATCTCCACTTACCACATGGGAAGACCCTGAACAATTTCTGTGACCATTTGCAATCACAGTTTCCTGAGATGTAAAAGAGGAATAATACCTACCTCATTAGACTATTATAACTGTAAAAGCACTTAATATGATACCTGGCACGTTTTAAGCACTCAATAAATTATCTTTATGAAATAATCTTGGTACATTATGAGATAGGAAAGTTGAGAAGGAAACTGATTTGGTAGGGAATTAAGAGTGATTTTGGTTTTAGGTATGTCTTATTTAATTGATTCACATCCTACCACATTTAGAGAAATGGAATTTATGGGACAGCCGAAATGATGATCATCCATAGACAACCTAAAAATGTAGAAGGTAAACCCAGGTGCTGGTGCTTTACACCTATATCCTAGCCCATCAGGAGGATTTCTGTTCAAAGCCAGCCCAGGCAAATAGTTCAAGAGACCTTATCTCAAAAATACCCAACACATAACAGGGCTGTTGGAGTGGCCAAAGTGGTAAGAGTGCCTGCAAAGCAAGTGGGAAGGCCTGAGTTCAGACCCCAGTGCTGGGGAAAAAAAATGTAGAAGGTGAAATATCAGGGCTGGAGATCTAGGACTGGAAATTACCAACATAGCTAGCTCTACCTCTGTGCCAATTAGCTTTTTATGGAAGGAAATGTTGAAGAGAAGTGGTCTGAGGACCATACTCAGGAAGAGGATGAAGAAAGAAAAACAAATGATTGGTCAGAAAGGCAGGATGGGAACCAGGAAACAAGGAGAGCATGAAGTTGTGAGAAATGAGAGAAGTGAGGAAGTGCTGAGCACAAATGAAGCATAGTTAAAGGAGGGTAAAATGAGAAAGGTTAAGTTTGTTTGGTTCTCACTGATGGCCTTTGAAAGAGCAGTTACTGTGAAACCTCAGATGTGCAAGCCAGGTTGCAAGATTCAGCACATTACGTGCAAGAAGAAAATGAAGGTCAGGATACAAGCCATTTGCTTTTTGCAGGTAATAGGATTGTGCACAAAAGCTACGAATGTATATTCCTAGCCTTACTCTCAGTCCTTTCATCTATGACTTCTCAGGCATAACTGCCATAACTACAGTCAGTGGTCCCGAATACACAAACTTAAATTTTTCTTTTCTTTCCCTTTGTCTTGATGCAGATGTGACACTCAATTCTCTGGTGTCTGAAGCATTTGTCAGGTTTTTTGTGGAGCTTGTGGGACATTATTCTTTGAACATGACTGTCACTGAGCGTGGACAGCGTGTATTCCAAAGGGAGCCATTTCGTAAGTCCCATACCTCCCGAAGTGTACGCCACTTCCTAGATCTCTTCATGGAGACACAGATGTTTGCAGGATTTATCCAGGACCGAGAACTTCGGAAAAGTGGGGTTAAAGGTCAGTTTGCATCAGATTTCTCCCTCTTTGGTCTCTCTCTCTCTTTTTTTTTTTTTTGTCTTTTCTTTTTTGGTGCTGGGATTGAACCCAGGACCTCGCACATGCTAAGCAAGTGCTCTTCCACCGAGCGACATCCTATCTCCTTCTCCCTCTTTATTTGATGAGTACTTGAAAGGTTTGAGTATAATATAAACAAAAACAAAACCATATAAAGCTGCAAGGGCTCAAAATCTGACTTGTTTATTATGGTAATGAATTGTTCTGTGCTGTTGTTTTAGCCATAGAACTAATAAACCAGTAATAAGAACCGAGTTTAGGCTAGGTGTGTAGCTCAGTGGTAGAGTGCTTGCCTAGCATATAAAAGACCCTGGATTCAATTCCCAGCCCTGCAACATGCTCCCCTCTACTTTATTTAACTAATTTGCAGTCTTAAGGGCTGGACAGTTTCACCAACATGAGTTTTCTTCATAGGTTTGTTTGAGGTCCGGGCTCTTCAGTATTTGGAAACAATTCCTGAGTCTGAACCCAGTGGGGTGAATAGAATTTTGCGGAGTCTTGGTGAGTTGCTGTGTTTTTCTGTTAGATAAATGTGGCTGAAAAAGAACTTTGCTGTAAACAAGCCTATAACAAAGGCTTTAGAGTCAGATCAGCAGTGTAACTTCAGATAGGCTGACCAGAAACTTTGACCCTAGTTCCAAAGTGGGAGAAAAGCTTGTTTGTCTCAGAGGTTGGGATTCCCTGTCAGAGTGGTCTGTGGAGCCATTTCCCTAGGTGAAGCTCCGTGATTTATCCCTTTATGGTATCAGTTTCTTTATCATTATTATTAATCAATTCAGGGTTAAGGCTTTGGAGAATCTTATAAAAACTGTCTTTTTTCCCCAGAAATATGTACTTAAGCATCAAATCAGTTTCTCATATAATTTTAGAGTTTTCAGAGCCATACCTTCCACCCTGCATTGGACTCTGAAGCAAAAGAGAGTGTCTGGGAAATCTAATTTTATGCCTCATAAAGATATACACAGTTGGAGTGGCTCAAGCTGTAGAGTGCCTGCCTAGCAAGCATGAGGCCCTGAGTTCAAACCCCAGTACCACCACCAAATAAATAAATAAAAAGAAACACAGTTTATGATTTTTCAATTATGAGTCAGTATGATATAAAAGAGAAGTGGTATAGCTACACAAAATAATGATTAACTTTTATATCCATTGTGTTTATACTGGTCTTTAAAATATATACCCCTAATTAGGTCCTGTCCTTAACTAGCTGAGAGATCATGGACAAATTATGCCTTGGGCTATTATTTCATCTTTATACCATTGGGTTAGATTAGATCTGTGGTTTTCACCTCCACTGATGATAATGTCTGGGGAGCGTAAAAAAAAAAAATTCCCCTGAGCTCCAGGAAGTTAATCACCTGGGAAATAAACCAGGTGATTTTATTTTTTCCTATTTTTTATTAGCATATATTGTACCAAATAAGGGGTTTTGTTGTATTTTCATTCATGTACATGTTATACTTTCATCATATTCACCCCCCATTACCCTTACTTATTTTCCCTTCCCCCTCCCACTAGTCTCTTTCCTCTTCCCAAGTCAGGTGATCTTAACCTGTCATCAGGGTTGAAAGCCACTGGATTAGATTATGTCTTGAGTTCTTTTCTACCTCTATAATTAGACACCTGGGGGAAGGTTGGTGGTTAAACACATCAACTGATAGCTTGATGTGTCAGCTTTTGGTTATTGTACCAAATACCAGAGATACTTAAAGAGAGGAAAGGCTTATTTCAGCTTGCAGTTTTGCATGTTTCAGTCCATGGTTGGTTGTCCCTGTTGCATTTGGTGCCTGTGTTGAGGCAGTACATCATGGTGAGCATGTGGCTGGCAATCTGCTCACTTCATGGCAGCCAGGAAGCAAAGAGGAACAGGAAAGGACAAGGGGTTCAATATCCCTGCTGGGAAACACCCACGACCAGACTTTCTACCTCTAGTCCCCATCTCTTAAAGGTTCTACCACTTCCCAATAGTGCCACAAGCTAGGGACTAAGCCTTCAACACATGGGCCTTCAAGGGACACTTATACAAACCAAATACTTGAGATGACAGCTTAACTCTTGATCTGTTCTGAGTGACTAAGTTGTTAATCCCTTGTCTCAAATAATGTACAATAAATGAAAACAGAGAATTCATTCTACTTTTCTCTCCTTTCAGGAAGTAAGATGAAATTTCTGCAGAAGAAATGAAATCTGTGCTTTTATTCTAAATAGAACTGAAAGTGCCAAAAACATTTGTCCAAAGATCAAGATGCTGTGAAGTATTCTACAAAATCTTTGAAATTTTAAAAGGCTAAGCAGCCAGCCAGGCTCTCAGAGGAGGATTCTCTCCTGCTGTGTAATCACTGGAGACACTACTTTGCCTCCAATTTTGTCCTACAGTAGCCTTTTCTATTTGATTGTTGGGCTTATTCTCTGTGTTTTGTGCTTAGTCTATGAAGGCAGTTGTCTTTTTCAAGGGAAAGACTTGTTGGTGTTGCATTAAAAGAAAACAGGTCACAGATAAGTACAATGAGAAATGCTGAGTTTTCAAAGGTACTAGAGAGCACAAAGAAATGGAGAACACTAGCTTTCCACACATAGTTATCATTGAAACATGGCAGCTTTAAGCCCATGGGCTGTTTGAACTTGTAAACTCCAATATGCTCATATAGGTCTTTTTTTTTTTTTTGGTCTAATATCCTATCTAGGGGAATCTGACTTATGTAGAAGCCCTACTTTTTAGTGCTGTCGGTGAATACCTTGTAGAAATAGAAATCTTCCTCCACAATGTGTGTGGCCTTTGAGTAGCTTGCTCTTTGTGTATCAACATTAAACTTTGCAGAATTATAATTAATATGAAAAATGTCCTTTCAAGGGCATAGGAACTACCTTTTGTTTTTTAGTGTCTACCATTTGCCACACTGTGATGCATGTATGTATGTCAGCTTATCCAGGCCTTAAATCAACTTTATATTTGCCTTTTAACTTTACTAATAATGAAACTGGAATTCAAAGAGGCTAAATAATCTTGGCCAGTTATACAATTGATATAGAACTGAAGCTAGGACTTGACTTTTATGAACAGAGAAATTTGGTTAGTCCTGTGGATGGAAATTTGAACTCTGTAAGATTATAACTATTTAAAAAATTTTCTATTAAGTATACAGGGGCCACCTCTCAGTTCTGAGGATAAGGGATTTTAAACTACAAGTGCCTATAGGAGGCTTTTGTGTGTGTGTGTGTGTGTGTGTGTGTGTGTGGTGCTGGGGATAAATCACAGGGCCTCATGCATCACAAGACTTTTTATTTTCTTTAAATTGTTGGAATTTTTGCTAATTAAATTTGACTCAGAATATGAACATTTCCTGAGCATATGCCACTGAATCACCCAACCCTTTAATATGTAAAGTAGTACTGAAAGAATTTGTCACTAATGGTGCAGTTTTCATTGCTTAATATTATAGGAAATGTCAGTTTTCTTCAACTTTTGATTTTAGCTGGCATAGAAAATACTCAAACTTACAAAGCCTTGTAAATTGTATTGTCACACAACTTACTGACTTGCACAGTATTGTCATTATTACCTATTCAGTTATGTTTGAATGAATCAGAAGCAAACACCACTTAAGACTGGTGCTGTGTAATATACTTCCTACAGATGTGGGTCCAGGGAACAGAACTGAGCCTGCCTTTTAAAATGTTGATTTAAGCAACTTACCCTAGTGGGGTTCCTACCAGACTTCTGCCCTTATACTCTTCTTACACTCCAACCCTGAGGGAACAATTAGTAATTGGGTGTTTATAAAATGGGATTAGAAGGGTTTACTGTGGTGGATCCTGCCTATCTCTCCGTGGGGAGACTTTGCTTCAGGGATGAGAGTATTAATTTATTCCTGCAATCTGAAGCTGCTTCCTCTCCTTAGGTTTGTTGTATTTTGCTTTTGTAAAGTATTGTGAATTCTGGTCATGTTTAAAAAAGAATTGCTCAAAATTTGTATAACATGTTTACAGATCTTTTAATGAATAAAGACATAAAAAATCCCACAGATCTCTTGGAAATTCTTTTTAATAAAATTGCTTAATATGCAAAGATCTACTTCAAGCAAACATATAGATGGTACATTTGCCTAATGGTAAATTAGAAGAGTAATCCGAATCCATTTTAGATTAACCAGGTTTAATAACTATGGCGTTCATTTCCAGGCTTTGGCAGACAGGCCCTGATGGAATGCACCCTGGACAGGACAGGTAGTCTGACCATCTTTGTCTTTACCTGCTGAGTGAGAGACACAACAGAGCAAGTGCACTCACAGCAGTTTTGATGGTTGGGGGCAATCAGGAGCCATCTACTACCTGTTCCAAATATCTTTAAGATACTGGGGTGTCACAAGAGAGATAAGACAGCTCAAAAGCCAACAGGTAAGGCAAAAGGGTGCCCACAAAGAGCAAGCACACCCAGTGGGGAGTCCGCTTGGGTTTTATCTCTAATGCAATGCTGCCCCTCCTCTGAATCGGGCAGATTTTGGGTTCACAGTCTACGTGGTTGGCTAATTGGAAAGAAGACACTGGGAGGGGGCTTTAAAGACAAGTTTAAAAGTTCAGGGATGCAGTAACTTTTGGGTTATTAGCTCCGGAACCAGGGCATCTAGCGTTATTTTGTCCAGCTTACGGTAACACCACTTTGTTCTTAATAGAAACTTACCAAGTTAAAGTATAGGAATGAAGCGAGCATATGGGAAGGGAGTTAGGAGTAGCATTTGTTAACAGCGGTGGTTGCTGAATAAATCCTTTGACATAAAAGACACAGCCTAAGCTGATTTTCACATACCGAAAGTCCAAAAGGCAAAATGACTGGCTTTTATATACTCCTTAACGGAAAAATGATGGGGCTTTTAAAAGTGGGGCACTTATCAATATCGTCTTGGGGAAAAAAGTTAAAACTGTTGTTATAGAGACCCTAAAACTTCGCTGCTTTAATTGGAGATCGGCGCCCACTTCTAGTGTCCGTGAAATAACGTCACTTGTCTAACATTCTCGGGGCCGAGTGAAAGGACAGTGAGGGTACAGCAAGCAAGTACAAAGAGAGAAACCCGACACAGTAGAAGTTTAGGAAAAGGCGGAAACCACTTCTCTCTTCGGGCCAAATCTTGCGACCAACTCCAGAAGTTTTAAAGGACTCGCCTCCATGTTCTGGAAGAACCCAAAGGTCCGACACTACCACGTCACTTGCAGCTCACAGTGCATCAAGCTGAAGACTGGAAGTTGGGATCTTACGCTAACGTTAGCGCGTGACGTCACATTCTCACCAAACGAAATAGCCCGGCAATTCCTAGCGGCCGAGCTAGCGCGCCTTCGGAAATAGCAACTGAGCATGCGCCACAGTCGACGCGCAGGGGACGTAATTACGTCAGTGTCTGGTGCAGGCGTAATTAAACGGAACTGAGCCTGCGCAGAAAACGCTGGCGTACTTGAGCTGTCCGCAATGGCGGGCACAGGTTTAGTGGCCGGAGAGGTTGTGGTGGATGCGCTGCCGTACTTCGATCAAGGTTATGAGGCGCCTGGAGTGCGGGAAGCGGTGAGTGCGGGACGTCTGTGTAGCAGACTGCTCTCGCTGGCAGTCCCAGTGCCGCATGAGGCAGATTCAGGCCCTGCCTACCCTGGCTCACGTTCTCCTTCTTAGGCTGCGGCACTGGTGGAGGAGGAGACTCGCAGATACCGACCTACTAAGAACTACCTGAGCTACCTGACCGCCCCAGACTACTCTGCTTTTGAAGTAAGTATGACTTTCATTTTGAATTGAGGCCTTGAGCTGTGTACAGGTGAATTTAAAATCCCAGTTTAACTATTGCTTGCTTAGCTACTACGTAGGAATCAGCTAGAGTTTTGAATCCGAGACCCAGAAAAATACTTTCTGGAGCTCCGCCAACTCCTAACGCAAAAACTTGTGTGTACATTTTTTTTTTAGGTAAGAGTTGACGTGTAAATTCTCAAAGGATTCCTCTTCTGTCTTAGGACCACTCTGCAGCAAGTGATCTAGGGTTTTTAATACATAAGCTTTATACATGTGCTGTGTAGAACCACAGGAGGGCGATCTTTGTAGCAAAGCCCAAGTATTTACCCTATCAATACACTATTTTAAATGTTTAACCTAAGAGTGCACCCAAGATACTAGGTAGGATCGAATCAGCGAAACGAAATGTAACATAATTTCTAAGTTATTACATTATGTTAAACATTTCAGTCTATACGTGGTTACGGTTTTCCCCCTATTGTATATAAACGTTAATTTATGGAAGGATTGCTATTAAAGGGCAGTATACTTGTTGCTTAACGCCTGGGATATCATCTGATAATCTCATCACTAGTCCACATCATCATTGCTCCAATATAGTATCCTAGATAGCATAGGCCATTCATTACAGGTGACCTACTGATGCAGTCAAGAAAGGAAGTAAATGAGATGGATGGAGCCACAGCTCCTGAAAGGAAGCACAATGATCTAAAGTTAATTTTTTTTTTAAGTAAGTAGGACTAAATACTTATGGTTAAAAAGCATAGTGTAGTAAATACCGTAAATTGGTAAGAGTTGTTTAGTATCAGCAAGTATTATTACTACTGTACAAGATTGTGTGCGTTCGACAATGCCAAAGTTTGTTTACACCACCATTGCTATGTTGTTACCATGTCACTAGGCAATAGGGATTTTTCAGCTCCATTATAATCTCTTGGGACCGTTTTCAAATTTGTGGTAAATCATTGCTGTGCATTACCGTGTATTTATACTGAAGTAACATGAAAAAATGTTTAATTTTTAAGTGAAAGAAAGGTGTTCCTAGAAATACTGTTTTCTTGTCCCTTTTTTTTCTTTTTTTGGGCAGTACTGGGGTTTGAACTTGTCTGTGTGCTTGCTAGGCAGATGATCTACCACTTGAGCCCCACCTTCAGCCCTGATTTGCTTTTAGTTATTTCTCTAGTTTTTCCCTAGGGGCAGTTTGGCCCATGATCTTTTTTATCTATAGCTTCCCTCATAGCTGATAGCTGGGACTATAGGTTTATGTCACTTCACCCAGCTCACTGATTGAGATGAGGTCTTGCTAACTTTTTGCCTGAGCAGGCCTCCGTATGCAATCTCCCAGTCTCACCTCTCTAGTAGCTGGAATTCCAGGCATAAGCTACTGCTCCAAGCTTTCTCATGTCCTTCTAAATATTGTTACCTAAGTGTAATTGTTATCCCATTAAGAACTAAGTACAATAATGCTTTCTTATTGATCTGGTTTCTGAGGTTTCAGATACCTTAACTGGTTTTTGCTCTCTGTTTTAAATACAGCATGCTTTCTTCCTACCTTTATGATTAGTATAGTGAGTATTTAACTCCTTTTGGAGGGGAGCAGTACTGGTGTTTGAACTCAGGGCTTTGCGTAAGCATTCTGCTACTTGAACTTCACCTCTAGACCCCTCATCCCCACTTTTTCCCCCTTTAGTTTACTGTTCAGATAGGGTCTCATACTTCTGCCACAGCCAGCCTGAGACCTCGGTCTTTGTACTTTCACCTCCCAGCCCCTGCATAGCTGGGATTACAGATGTGCGCTCCTGTGTCTGACTAACCCTTTCTTAATAATAGGTGTTAATAGTGCACTGACCACAGTTTTAGTCCTCAAGAGAACCCTATGAATTATGGAACTTTTTTGTGTATGTGTGTTATTGGAGATTGACCCCTGGGCCTCATGCTTGCTAGGCAAGCACTCTACCACTGAGCTACACTCTCAGACCCTATTTATTATTTTTAATAAAGCAGGGTCTTGCCATGTTGCCTAGATTGGTCTCGAATCCCTGGGCTTAAGGAATCCTCCTACCTCAGTTTACCAAGTAGCTGGGACAGCAGGCACGTACCAGCATGCCTGGCTTATAACTATATATGTATTATCTCTCCTTTTTATGTGTTAAAATGTGGCTTAGAGAAACTAAGGTCTTGGTTAACCAAGACCTTAACCACTTTTCATACTGCCTTTGAAATTACTCTTGCATTTAATTCATTTAACAGCTATTTATGAAGATCTGTACTGAGTATCAAGGAACAGGATAAAGGTCCATACCCTAACAACACTTACATTCTTCGGTATTGACACAAATAAGTCAGAAAAATTCCAGACTGTTATAAATGGTATGCAGAAAATTGAAATAGTGATATGATTGTGTCTGGGAAACTACTCTAGATTGGATGGTTGTGGAAGGTGTATCTAAGCTGAGTTGAGTCTAGGATCTTCTTTTTTTTTTTGTCATCTTCATTGCCTAACTGCCTGGTATGCAGTAGGAATCCAAATGTTTAGCATTCACTGTATGACTATCTTGAGTTTCCAAGGCAGTTTTATTTAATGAATGCCTACTATGAGCCCAACGTTCCTAGAGTTCTTTTTGATAGCTTAGTTCTGTGAATGCTGGCTCAGTCTTTGGAGATAGTTGAACTAAGGTTCCAGAGTTGAAATTCCAACTCTATTGCTTACTGGTCATATGAAGAACAGGCTTCAGTGTTGCATGGCTGCATTTTTGTAGTTTCTCTCTTAACTAATTGTTTGTTGTTAACTCTTTTTCTCTGTGTATGGCTAGGATGCCCTAGTCTTCTCCAGAAAGCTATCTAATCACATTTTCTTAGAGTTGTGTGTGAGAAAGCCTTCTCCAATGAGAAATGCTTAATGTAAAGCTTGTAAACAGGAATATGGGGCTTGAAAGGTGTTTTGCTTACTCTAGTGTGATTATTAGGATAGTTGAAGTCCTCAGAAAATTGAAATTACATAGGATAACTGAAGTATTACTATAAATGAATATTACATTTAAGTGGTCCTTTGTACTCAGGGAAGGAAATGTTCAGGACAGAGGACATAGAACCAAAATGTGAGACTTAAACAGGTGCATCTGTGGGCTGGGGGTATAGGTTGTTGATAAAACTGTTGGTAGCATGCTTGAGATCCTGGGTTCTCACCATGAATATAAAAATTAAAAAAGCTATGATCGCACTCAGACTCCACCTTGGACCAGTTGAGTGGGAGCATGTGAGGGGGTGAGATGGCTGGAACTAGAGATGCCTTCAGAACGCCCCAGCTAGTTGTACTGTGCTTCTGAGATGGAGAATGCTGGTTTAGGATTAATCCTTTCCTCTGTGAACTGTACTTATACATATTGTACAGTATAGAATCAAAGTGTGTGTGTGCTCTTCAGATACTAGTGTGCATTAAACCCAGAGAACTGGGAGGATGGCTGGGAGCGTAGCTCAGTGGTAGAGCAAGTTCTTAGCATGTGCAAGATCCTGGATTCAAGCCCCAGCACCCTTAAAAATAAAAAATGGGAGAAGAGGAATGATCCATTATGATGCATACTATAAAGAGTAAATACTTAAGAAAATTCATTATTTGTTTGGTGATTACTAATTTCATTTTATCATTATGATCTTGGAAATAATTCTTTTTCTGATTTATACATCAGACTGACATAATGAGAAATGAATTTGAAAGACTGGCTGCTCGACAACCAATTGAATTGCTCAGTATGAAACGGTAAGAGAACTAAAATAGAAACGGAACTTTCATTTGTAACTAATGAGTTAAGACTTATGAAGAGTGTATTTGCAGTGTGAAGGGAGAGAATAGAGAGGGGTATAAATGCAAACAATGATTTTGTCCCTTCCCCTTTTTCTCTCTAGAAATATCCTACTTTTTTACTTAAAATAGGTTATTTTTCAGTGTTTTGTTTTTTTTTTTTTTTTTTAAGATGATGAGGCAGACTCTTTATTCACGAGGAGTCATGGTGACATGTACAGGGTACCACTGCAACAGAGTCTTGTAGTGGGAGAGAGATCTGAATCAACTTCAGTATAGCTAACATGACAGTTCTTCATGTGAATAGCTTATTTAGGTAGCTTGGCATTAAAGTAAATCAAGTTTTTTGTTCCTGTATAGTGCTCTAAATCTTACTATAAATTTATTATTTCTTAGGGTAAGATAGGTTTCTTTTTATTGCAAAGTCTGCATCTTCTCTTCTGTCTTCTGTTGAGAGGAGACATAAAGACCTGTCGTGATATGTGATTTTATTTTATTTTGTTACTTAATTGCAGATATGAACTTCCAGCCCCTTCCTCAGGTCAGAAAAATGACATTACTGCATGGCAAGAATGTGTAAACAACTCTATGGCTCAGTTAGAGCATCAGGCAGTTCGAATTGAGAATCTGGAACTAATGTCACAGCATGGATGTAATGCCTGGAAAGTATATAATGAGTAAGAAGCTTGCTTCCTTCCTCCTTCCCTTCTGTTTTGTTTTGGTTTGGTTTGGTTTTTGAGACGGGGTCTTCTAGGTAACTTAGGGTGGCCTGCAACTCATTGTGTAGCTCAGGTTGGCCTCCTTGCAGTTCTCCTGCCTCAGCCTTCCAAGTGCCTGGATTATAGGCTTGTATTCCCACATCCAGCTGTCTTTAGTATTTTTAAAGGCCTGGAAGACAGGTTGCAGCAGTTTGATAAAACTAAATATAACTGGATATGACTTAGAATCATGATCCAGAACTACTGTGAGACCCACCTCGAAGCACTAAGGGGACCTAACTTGACTACTGTATTTACCGTACAGTATTGTGAGAAAATTATTTCTGGGGAGTGACTTCTAGATCACCACCTGATAGAATGTAATCCTTAATGTGGGGTTGTTTACATAGTTGATCCTGACCCACGCTGTATTCTTTGATGTCCCCCTGAGCGCTAAAGTAGTAAATACTGTATTTCTTCTAGGGGAAGTATATATATGTATCCACCTACACACATGCCCCATGTAGATCCTAAAGACCCCTCATCTTGGTAGATTTTATTTATTTTATAAAAGTGATAACAAAGTTCAAAAGTATAAACTGCTGTGCTTCAGGCTGCATCACTTATAGATGCCAGACTTGGAATTAAACTGCACCTTGCGGTCTTCTCTGTATGAGAGCTGAAACAAGAAGACAGAGCAGATCCTTGCTCAACCTCAGCTGGGAAATGTACATGCCCAGTGACCCAGATTTATCACTGGCATGCATGTGTTCATGGATGATTGCAAAACCTACAGACTCACAGATAGGGAATGTGTGAGTAATGAGGATCAGAACTGTAAATTATAAATTAACATTTTGCTGAGCCAGGCATGGTGGTGCACGCCTATAATCCTAGCACTCTGCAGTCCCAGAACTTGGTAGGTTGTTGCAGGAGGATCAAAAATTTAAGGCCAGCTTGGGATAATGTAGTGAGACCCTAGCTTGCTAGTTTGTAAAATTCAGTGGTTGTCTTTGCAGCTCCTTTTACCCTAAAATCCCCTGAGTCTCTATTAGTTATTTAAGGAAGAAGACTTGAACCTTATGGCTGCATGTAACTCTTTGTTAGACTATGTTTCCTGAAACATAACTACATGAAATGAAACCACAAAATGATAGATACTTTTTCTCACATCTTCAGAATTTAAAATTTTTATGGCCCTACAATGATCCAGTGGGCAAAATCTCCCAGAATTTGGGAGACTACAGGACAAACAACTTTTGTGACTATATTGTAAGAGGGAAAAAGGAAGAATGGGATCCCAGTGATTAAGAATTTAATAAAAAACAGATAAGTCAAAAAAGTGTAGTTCACAAAGTAGAAAAACATGATTCTTGTGTTCTCAAGAAGTCTTAGCGCTGGTCGCTTGTGTCTCATGCCTGTAATCCTAGCTACTCAGGCCAGCCCTAGGCAAATAGTTCATGAGACTCTATCACAAAAATACCCAACACAAAATGGGGCTGGCATGGCTCAAGTGGTAAAATGCTTGCCTAGCAAGCGTGAGACCCTGAGTTCAAGCCCCAGTGCCACCGAAAAGAAGAGGCTTTAGCTTTGAGGAGACAACCACACCAAGTGACCAGTACTTCATTTTTTGGCAGTATGGGGGCAGGAGCTACTTTGTTTGCTGTGGCCTATAAGCTGTAGGCTGAGGCTGTGGCTCAGTGGTAGAGTTTTTGCCTAGCATGTCCAAGGCCCTGGGTTTGATTCCTCACACCACAGAAAAATACAAGAGTGAGATATGAGTGTTTAGAGAAGACCAACGAAACCAAGCATTGTGGCACACAGCTTTAATCCCAGTGCTGAGGTGACTGAGGCAGGAGAATCTCAAGTTCAAGGCCTACCAAAACCCTGTCACCAAAAAAAAAAAAAAAAAAAAAGTTGTATGAACGGAGAACACAGGAAGAACCACTAAATTGAAAAGAACATTGCTTTCTAGTCTGCTAACTTATCTTTACTTGTCTTCCCTGATTGAAATTCTGCCTGCAGTGCACATCACTTGTTCCATTTAATCATGTAGTACTCTTCACTACTGAACATTGTCCTGATATGTTTTGCCTCCTCCAAACCCAGTGGATGCTTCTCTGCGGAAGGTATATTGTATTTTATCAAAGAAAATTTAGGAGAGATAACAGAACAGGGAGAAGACTACACGTTAAACTTTCAAGGAGAGGCACTTCAAAGGAAAGATCCTTTTTAGTGGTCAGAAGTCAGGTATAGAGCACTAAAATTGATAGTCCTTAACATGGAGTGATGTTGAAGCCATAGAAAGAGATGAGGGCTGGTGGAGTGGCTCAAGTAGTAGGGAGTCTGCCTAGCAAGTGTGAGGCCCTGAGTTTAAGCCCCACTACTGAGAGAGAGAGAGAGAAGAAAAGAAAATGAGATGAGCTGAGGGAAAGCCAGTCAGAAGAAATGAGAGTAACTCACTGAGCAGCAGAAAATGACACAAAGCCAGGACACACACGTGAGAGGACCTGGGTTTAATGCCCAGCACTGCAAATTAAAAAAAGAAGAGGAAGAAGAAAGAAACAATCAATATTGGATCTGGAGCAGTAGCACAATAGGGCCAGAAGTTGTTCAAATGGACCCTCAAGATGTCATGAGAGGAAATTGATATGGCATTTGAATGTCTCAATAAAGCTGTTTAAACTTGAAAGAGACATTGAAATCTATTGAATCACTTCTACGGATAGTAATTGCATGGTACTTTACTGATCTTTTTCCCCTGTGCTAGTTGGAGCTGACTGGAACTGATACCTGAATCTCCAGCCTTTTGCAATGGTTTTTTTTCCTTCCCTCTCTCCAGTTAGCAGTAGATACAAGGAGAGAATGACAAGATTAATGTAGATACAGAAATACAGATATAAAAGGACAAAGCGTGCCTGCCTAGCAAGCACAAGGTCCTGAGTTCAAACCCTTATACTGCAAAAAAAAAAAAAAAATAGGGCTGTATCAGATATTTTTCATCTTTATGAAAAGAAGTCATGACAAGCTTGGTGTGGTGGGGCATGCCTGAGGTCTCAGCTATTTGGAAGGGATAGACAGGAGGGTGTCTTGAGCTCTGAAGTTTGAAGCCAACCTGGGCAGCTTAGTGGGATGCTGTCTTCCCTGCAAAAGAGAAAAGTGGTGACAGAAAGAAGTGATGTAAGTATTGAAGATCAAAGTATCGGTAAACGGAATTTGATTAATATTTTTGGATTACTCAATATTTACTCAATATTTACTATTTTAGCAGAAAAATGTGACTTTGTATGAACTAGTTAATTTATTTTTAATTGCTACTTCTTAATTCTCTTGGTCTGACTTTGTTTCTCTTCTTTAGAAATCTAGTTCATATGATTGAACATGCACAGAAAGAACTTCAGAAGTTAAGGTAAATGACTTTTTCTATTTTTAAAAAGTCGAATTGAACCCTTAATAGGGTGGGAGGAAAAAGTAATACTGAGTATATTATTGTATGCTGCTGCCTGGGTATATATAACAATTGCTCTTGTGAAATAGAAATTCATAAAAATTCAGAGAGGTGGATGTTAAGGGCTTACTAAAGTACAAGTTTGTGTATTGTGGCACATGTGTCAAAGGGAAGCTTTTGTACAGGCTTCAGACTTAACTCTTGGATATTCACTGGTTCATGAGAAGTGGTTTGGGAAACTGCTCAGAGATTCATTTGACTACAGAAAGAACAGACTGGCTGTGCATTGTGGTACATGCCTGTAATTCTATCACTCCAGAGGCTGGAGCAGGAGGATCATAAGTTCAAGGCCAGCCCGGACTACATAGTGAGACCCTATCACAAAACAAACAAAACAGAAAAAAGGAAACAGAGTTTCTGTGTCTGAAGGGATTTGTACTTGAAAATAACTTCAGTCAACAGGGAGTCATGTTAAGCATTCTATAAGCAGAATTGTTCCAAGTCTGCAACTGCCTGGGAAACCTGCATGAGGTTCAGGCTGGCTTAGAGTCAGAGCTGCTGCACCACCTTCTTCATAGTGACAATGCTAGAGGAACCAGACTTGGTACACTTTAGAGCCAGCGAGCTCCTCGGTTTGAGGGTCTCCTCAGCTGACGGTTGGCACATTGCTGGCTGAAGGGGCCAGATGGCCAGGCAGCATGCAGCCCCAAATATACTTTAATGTATCCAATTGCAATGCAAGAAATTGCGTTTATTTTGAGGTTTTTTGTTTAATTTGGTTTTGCTTTTCTTAAATAGTAGACTGGCCTCTTTAAAAGTTTATTAACACATAATAATTGTACAAATTAATGGGATTCACTGATATTTTTGATCCACTCTTTGTCCAGCATCTGGCACTGAATTTGCCCTACCTGAGTGAAGGAGAAATAGGCTTGAAGTCTGAAAACATCTCTACCAGGCCATTTATACTTGCAAGTCCGCAAACAGAAAAGACACATTTAAAGGGGGGAACATTGCAGGATAACACACATAACTCTTCATACACATGCACATATAGGAAAGAATCTGGAAAGCCTCTTAGTCCGTTTTCTGTTGCTAAGATCATCATACCACAGACTGGGTAAGTTTTAAACAAAAGAGGCTTATTTTTCCTTACAGTTCTGGAGGTTCAAGGTCAAGGGACTGTATCTTGTTGAGATGACCTTGCTGGCAGAGTCCCATAGTGGTGCAGGGGATCACATGGCAAGAGGCAGGGAGACTAGACTGCACATGTGTGTGTTCCATTCTCTTACTCTTATTATAAAGCCACCGGTATTTCTTCATTGGGGCTTCACCCTGATAATCTTATCTACTGCTAAGCACTTCCCAGAGGCCCACCTCTAACCACCATAGTTATATTAAGCTTCCATCGACTCAATACCTCACAATGGCAGTTAAACTCCAGCGTGAGCTTTGGAGGGGACAAACCATTTTCAAGCCACAGCATCCACCAAAAATTCAACAGTAGTTACCAGGAAGGAGAAATGCATGGGAGGGGGATTTTTCATTTGTGATGTATGTGCATGTTTGAGTGTGTTTTTTATTTTCCACAATAAGCATGTTTTATGAAAATTGTAATTGAAAAGAATTAAATTTAATTCCTAAATTAGTCTAACTATGTATTTATTCTTCTAAAGAGATTAAAGATAGTCTCTCGTATTGATTTTATTTCTGTTGATTTTAGTCTTATGTTAAAATGTAGTTGGGTTGTACAAATAACTTTTTACAGGAAGCATATCCAAGATTTAAACTGGCAGCGAAAGAACATGCAACTCACAGCTGGATCTAAATTGAGAGAAATGGAGTCAAAGTGAGTGTCTCTAATGCCATCATGTTTGAAATTGCTTAGCCCCTTCTAGGATCAGGATCAGTAAGACTCAGTCAGTGTTCAGGTGGGATGCCCCGGGTGTCAAAGAATTGCTGTTTTCTGAATCTGACCTTTCTGACGTGAGGCATAGAAAGCAGCTGGAGAATTAAAAACAGAGATTGAATCACTGCTAAGTGATCCTGGTCTTAACAGCACTATGTTTTGAGTCCAGTATTTGTGGTTCTTAATAGAATCTTCCTATATTCCAATCTTTTTACTTTATTTATTTATTTATTGTTCTTGTCAGTACTTGGGATTGAACCCAGAGCCTTAAACATTCTAAATGGGCACTCTGCACTGAGCTACATCCTCATGTCTGTTTTTAAACAGAAATAAGTGTCTTTTGTTTATTAATCTTGTAGGGAAGGAATTTCCATCCTTTGCTTAAAAAATTTGTACCTAGCTTTTTTAATCTTTGTTTATACATTTTATATATATGTTATATGTGTTGTTTTGTGTGTGTATGTGTGGTATGGCTTTTAAGTCAGGACTACACCTTGACCCACTCCACCAGCCTTTTTTTTTTTTTTTTTGTGATGGGTTATTTTCAAGATAGGGTCTTGAGAACTATCTGCCTGAGCTGGCTTCAAACCTCAGTCCTCCTGATCTCTGCTTCCTGAGTACCTAGGATTACAGGTTTGAGCCACCAGTACCCAACATACATATGTATGTAATTTATACAAATCCCTAAATATAAACTGGGGGTGGTGGTGCACAACTGTAATCCCAGCACTTGGGAGACTGAGAAAGGATTGCAAATTCAAGGCCAGCCTGGGCTACATAGTGAGACCCTGTCTCAAAAAAAAAAAAAAAAATCCATAAATACAGCCATGAATTTTGTTTTTTGTTTTTGTGTTTTTGGCAGCACTGGGGTTTGAACTCAGGGCCTCACACTCCTTGAAGTTGGTGGAGTGGCTCAAGTAGTAGAGTGCCTGCCTAGCAGGCTTGAGGCCGTGTTCAAACCTCAGTACCACCAAAAAGAATTGTTAAGTTGTTTTCCTTGACATCAGTTGTTAAGATGTTTTTAGGGGAAAAGGAAACTTTCTTAAATCTCTAGCTTTGTTTTTTTTAGACGTTCTAGAATTTTCTCCACTTTTTTGGTGGAATTAGGGTTTGAATTTGGGCCTTCACGCATGAAAAGCAGGCTTTCTATAGCTTGAGCCACTCCTCCAGTCCATTTTGCTCTGGTTATTTCAGAGATGGGATCTTGTGAACTGTTTGCCTGGGCTGGCCTCCAACTGCGATCTTCCTGGTCTCAGCCTTTCAAGTAGCTAGGATTGCAGGTGTGAGCCACTGGCACCTGGCTTTACTACCATTTTCCCGTAACAATTGTTTCTGCCCTTTTTTTTCCTTTTCTTTTCTCTTAGTCCCATGCTATCTTCCATTACTCTTTCCTGTTACTTCTGTTTTACTAATTCTGTTTTCTGTTTCTGCTTACTTTTTATTAAACTTCTTATCTTGAGACAAACTATATTCACGTGCATTGTAAGAAATTATATAGAGTTCCTATGTACCCTTCAAACTACTTTCTCACAATTGTGCCTCATTTTTTATTTTTTAATGGAAAGCTAAAAGTGTTATGGCCTTGAGTGAAACTGTATATACACTTAAAATAAAATCTTATAAAAGAAATTTTACTTTGAGTAATTTTTCCTTTTTCTTTTTAAAAATTTTTTTTCCTTTTCTAGCTGGGTATCTCTGGTCAGTAAGAATTATGAGATTGAACGGACTATTGTGCAACTGGAAAATGAAATCTATCAAATTAAGCAGCAACACGGAGAGGCAAACAAAGAAAACATCCGGCAAGACTTCTGAAAAGGGCTGGTGGTGTGACTCACGTGGTAGAGCTTTTGGCTAGCAAGCGCAAGGCCCTGAGTTCAAACCCCAGTACTCTCACACACACACAAAAGACTTCTGAAAAGACTAATTTGGTGGGTAGAAAGGAAGAAAAGTTGAGCTTTCACAAAATATCAGGCATCTGAACTATGAAGGACAACAGCCTGTCACAGAAACCATTGATGGTGAGATGTTTAGAAACCACAGAACATGTGTACCATTGTATTAATTCTATTTGTATTTCTTAGCAAAATAAAGATTTTCAACTTGGTGGTATTTTTATAGCTATAAAAATTGAGGTTTTCATAATAAGTATGACTTTAGAATAATATTGTTTGAGAATTAATTTTAAGCAACTTGGACCATATTTAGTAGCTCAGGTCCTTTTAAGACTTCCAACATTGTAAGAAGCTGGGAACTTTTAGTTTATGATTTTGTCTAATAAAGAAGTAGTTCTAAACATACTCTTGATCCACCAAATGTAATGATTAATCTTGGTTGTCACCTTGACTGGATTGAGAGACACCTAGAAAATTGGTATCTAGAGAATTGGGTTGTTATTGTGACTACCTGACAGTATGGGTTGTTCAGAACTTTTGGAATTGGTTTGCATTAGGAATTTGAAGAAGCAGGCTACCCAGCGCCAGTAAGTGGGTGATTTTCTTGAGGGTAGTACTTTTGGGCATTGGACTAAAGGCTACCTTCTTTACACTGTGACAAGGAATTTGCATGCACTTTGTCCATGCCCTGAGACTCTATGTATGGGAGGCTGAGTTTAAAGGTGATAGGCTAATTGATCTTGTAGGGGAAATAAGACCCCACCCATCACAGGCCCAAAGGCAATGTAAAGTCATTTCAAAGACTTCTTTGGGAAGAGACTCTTGGAGCATCTGTCTGGCTTGCACAGGACCACCTAGGGTATTGTTTCCCTGAAATTCCTTTCTCATGCTTAGCCATCAAGGCACTCAGACCACTGCAGCTATGGTTGGAACAGGCATCAGTACAGCTTGTGCTGGTAACAGACCTTGGTGTTGTCCACTTGATGCTAGTTTTCCAGGAATGCATAGTTCAAGAGTTAAGCGGTCTTGGAAGCATCCCTTGAGATTTCAAAGGAGAGCCTAGGAGACCAGGCAGTTCGTTGCTGCGTTGAAGTCTATGCAAACAGCCTCTCATTGAAGCATTGAGTTGTGGATGGAGCCAAAGCTGCAGTGGAAACCCCAGGAAATTGGAGATGCCAGGAATGTGGAACTCCTCGAGGGAAGCTGTAGTCAGTGAGCAGAGCCAGCCTAAGAGAGTGGCTATGTGGACTGCAACCAGCAAGACCATTGGGGCAGGGCTGCCCAAGTCCTTTGGAGCTCCCATTATACTACCATGTTGCCCAGATTCCAGATGTAGCTATAGCACTCGATGTTTGTCCTGCTGGGTTTTAGTCTTGCTTGGTCTGGTCTTTCCTTTCTAGGCCACTGCTCTTTTAGGAATGGGAATGTTTACCCTGTGCCATTGTATTTGGGAGTATGTAAGTTTTTCTTTTGGGTTTTAGGAGACTCACAGCTAAGAGTTTGCCTTGAGTCACAGAAGAGACTTTGGTTTGGGACTTTTGAGCAAAGGGAGCGCTGTTGAGACCTTGGGGGCTCTTGGAATGCAATGAATGCATTTTTCATTGTGAAATGGCCATGAGCCTTTGGGGGCCAAGAGCTTGGTCCCAGCCTGTGGTGCTGTTGAGAGGTGGGGGGACCTTTTGGGGGGGGGGCCTGGTATAAGGAAACTAGGTAATTGAGAGCTGAAGTAGATAATGGGACCCTGTCCCCTTCCCTGTTTGCTTCCCATCTACCATGGAGCTGAGCAGCTTCCCCACCACATGCTCCTACAACCATGATACACTGCTTCTTCACAGGCCCAAAAGCTACTGGACTGAAACCTTGGAAACCATGAGCCAAAATGTACTTTTTCCTTATAAGTTGTTTGTCTTAGGTATGTGTCACAGTAACAGAAAGCTAATATACCGAACAAGGCTTAAGAAACCCAGTGGCTTCATATGTGATACCATCATAGGTAACAGTTACATCAAGCTTAATACATGCTGAACATTGAGCATTTTAGGTAGATTAGCTAGACTTAACATGAATAAAAATAGTTTGGTCCTCACAAAAACCTCAAAACATTATTGCTGTTCCCATATTTGTAATAGACACTTAAGTAATTTGATGAAGCCATCAGGTTGGGATTTTAGCACTATAGTGCTTGCCTAGCAAGATCCTGGATTTGATTCCCAGCACAAAAAGAAAGTGTCTGCTAAGCTTTTGATCCAGTAGTCCAGCTCCAGACTTGTATTTACTACTTGTAAGGAACTTAAGAGTAAACACAAAAGATTCTTCTTGAGTTCAGAGAATACATTTGAGGGCTGGGAATGTAGCCCAGAGGCAGAACTCCTTTCCTAGCATGCATGAGGCCCTGAGTTCAGTCCCCAGTACCACAAAAAACTAAAAATGTTTATAGCATCAAAGTCTAGTCATAATGTACAGAGACCTTTGACAAATCACTGACAGGTGAACACTCCCAAAAATACATGATAGGTTATAAAACAACTCTAGGGCTTTTGACAATGAGAGTCGTGGCCCATGCTTTTAAAGGTACTTGTTTAAGAAAAGCACTTGCAAGCTGGGTGCTAGTGACTCATGCCTGTAATCCTAGCTATTGGGGAGGATCGTGGTTCGAGGCCAAACTGGGCATTAGTGTAGGAGTCCCCATCTCTAAAATAACCAGAGCAAAAAAATGGACTGGAGGTGTGGCTCAAGCTATAAAGCACCTGCTTTGTGCAAAGCCAGTTCAAAGCCCAGTCCCAACCAAAAAAGAAAAAAACAGAAAAGCACTTACAGGACAATTTATATATGATCTCACTTAGGATCTTTAAAAACTTATTTTATAACATGGTTTACTCTTGACAGTTCCATACCTTATGTACACAATAAGTATGGAGTTTCTGGTACGTGAGCTGTCAAATCATATAAGCTGGAACTCATGGCTAGCAGTTTGCAAGTTTTGCCATCATTTGTACAATTATACTTCATTGAATATTTTTGTGTATTGCCCTTTTTAATGACAAAGCTGAATGTGGTGGTATGTACCTCTAATCCTACACTAAGGAGGCAGAGCTAGGAGGATAGAGAATTTGAAACTAGCCTGAGCTACACAATTAGACCCTGTTTCAAATACAAACTACACAATTAGACCCTGTTTTAAATACAAAAATAAATTACCAGAAAATGGAGTATGAGCTATGCTGAAATTGGCAAATCCTTAGCTTCGGTGAATCTTAGTGACCCTAAGTTGCTAAGTGTGTAATTACAGAAGAAAGTAGATGAGAAAAATGTATTTCTTAGATAACAGCCAAAAAGGTACAGTGATGAAGTGAAAAATTTCTCTGAACATTTAGAATTAGCATCAAAAATGCTTTCTAGCTGGGCACGGGTGGCTCACACCTGTAATCCTAGCTGCTCAGGAGTCAGAAATCAAGAGGGTCATGGTTTGAAGCCAGCCCCAAGCAAATAGTTCCCAAGACCCTATCTTGAAAAAGCTCATCCCAAAAAAGGGATGGCAGAGTGGCTCAAGCAGTAAGACCGCCTGTGGCAAACATGTAGGGCCTGAGTTCAAAACCCAGTAATGCCAAAAAAAAAAAAATGCTTTCTAGTGGTCTAAATCCTGGGAGAAGTTTAATAGTAAGTTGAAAATGTTGGTGGGAATTGATGTAACATTTGTGAGAGGAGAAAAAATTACACAGGCTGAGGGTGTGGCTTAGTGGTAGAGCCTTTGCCTAGTGTGCACAAGGCCCTAGCACTGCCAAAAATAAATAAAAATTTTAAAAGACAAAGACCCAGATTGATAATGAGTTACAAAGTTAGCTACATTCAAGGGAAAAAATAATTTAAGATATTTCTGTGTTCTAGCTTTCTGAAAAGAACCATCCTGTTCCTCCCTGCTTTTACTTTTTCTAAGCTTATTCAGGAATTCATGTATAAAAGGAGGTAATAGTCCCTCATATGAACAATATCTGAAAATTTACACTGAATACTCTTTTTTTTTTTTTTTTTTTTTTTTGGCAGCACTGGGGTTTGAACTCAGGGCCTCATGCTTGCTAGGCAGGCGCTCTATCACTTGAGCCGCTCCTCCACCCCAACCCCCAGTTTTTCTGAATGGTTTTAAAATTATGCAACAAAAGACTTGATTTTGCAAATTTTAAATTATACTTATCTGTTTTTATGTGTGTGCTACTGGGGTTTGAACTCAGGGCCTTGTGCTTGTTAGGCAGATGCTTGACTACTTGAGCCACATTCTCCAGTCCTTGACTTTATAATTTTACCTAAGAATATGCACATTGGTTTGAAGTCTTTTCATTTTCTTCCCTATGCTTGGGATTGAACTGAGGGCCTTGTGCATAAGTACTCTTCCATTGGCTATACTTAGCCCAAGTTTGGGGTCTTTTTAAAAATTTACTGGGTTTTTTGTTTGTTTTGTAGTACTGGGGTTTGAACTCAGGGCCTACACCTGAGCCACTCCACCAGCCCTTTTTTGTGATGGGTTTTTTTGAGATAGGGTCTTGTGAACTGTTTGCCCAGACTGGCTTCAGACTGTGATCCTCATGCTCTCTGCCTCCTGAGTAGCTAGCTTTACAGGTATGAGCCACTGACACTTGGCCCCAGGTTTGGGTATTTTATCTGTACTTCTATAAGAGAAAACATTGCAAAGAGGTAGAATGAAGTAGTCACCCTTATCTGTCAGCTTCAAGAGAAATATAACTGCTTAGCCCATTTGAAATTTTTTTTTCATGGTACTATAAATTGAACTCAGAGCCTCATACACACTAGACAAATGCTCTACCACTAAGCTACATACTTCATTCCTTTTTTAAAACTTTAACACAGGGTCTCACTAGGTTGCCCAGGCTAGCCTCAAACTTGAGATCCTCCTACCTCAGGCCCTCTGGTAGCTGGGATTATAGTTATGTACCACAGAGCCCAGCTTTAAATTTATTTTTAATTTTTGTCTAAAACATACTTTTCAGCATGTGTGAAGCCCTGGGTTCAAGCTCCATTAACCCCCTTCACACACACACACACACACACAACACACACTTCCCTTTGTTGCCCTTTCTCCTGTGTCTTCATTTCTCTTTGGCAGTCATTTGTTACTGCCACCCCACACTTAGTGGTATAAAACAGTAAGTATCACTTGTTGTTGTATTTCACAGTTCCAGGGCCTGTTTGGGCTCAGGTGAACAGTACCCACTCAGGGTTTCTCTTGCACTTGTGGTCAGATGGCCGCTGAGACTTGAGTCTTCTAGAAGGGATCTCCACTCATCTGAAAACTCAAATGGGGACTGGAACAGCTGGGAATCCTGGGGCACCTCAGTCATGTGGTTTTTCTGGCACAGTGACTTCAGGGTAGCCAGTCTTATATGACAGTTCAGGGTTCCAAAGGCACATGTCAGAGTCCAGCAGAAGATACGTTGTCTTCTATCACTTGGCCCGGGGAGTCACACTGTTAACTTCTGCTC